CTGAACAGGAGGTGACAGGAGCCTCTGAGAAGCCACTGTAGCAGCATTACGTGCCAGTGTCAGTGATGGAGAGGAGGTGGCTCTTGTTCCAGCGTGCTCTAAGCCTTGGTCTTGCAGTGTGATGTTGTGCTGCAGATCCTAGAGGATCTGTACAGTATCCAGATCTTCACATCTATCTCCTGGCAGCCTCTCTGAATTGCTGCTGCTCTGTAGGTGGCCAGTCCGTGGGTTCCTGCTGTTCAGAGTGCCCTGGGGTGTCCTCACTGCAGTGCTTGCTGGGCCCTCACGCTGTGCTGGCCCTGCCCTTGGTGCCAGCCCTGGCACTGCTTCACTGCAGGGCTGGGCAGGGCTAGTTTGGCCTTTGGGGTGGGGCCTGTGTTTGTGAAGAGGCACATTTGGGGAGGGCTGAGCCCTGTGGCTGCAACTGTGGCCCCACTGCCATCCCTGGTGTCACCAGGTCCTCACATCCCTGACCAGACTGAAGGTGGGGAGTGACTGGCACTGTCCATAACGTGAGTGGCAAATTCAGTCTAGCAGGAAAGCAGGTTACTTCACAGCTGGAGTGCAGGCCAGGCTTCATCTAATCCCTCCCTTGGCCAGGGAAAGGTGGCTTTAATCTATTTATTCTGCATGTGGTTGTTTTTCCAGCACTGATCTATCTGCAAATGCCATAGCACTGTTAGTCTGTTGCTATCCATTTGCCATTAGCAGATGTGTCAGGACATGAAGCAGTTTTCAGTCTCTCAAGTCTAATCCCAGCAGTGCCGTGGGATCTTGGGAATGCTCTGCCTTTATACAAAAGTAATCGACATGTAGCGTGTCATTTTTAAGAACCTGCAACCTGCAGTTTTTGGATTTTTTTAGACAGCTGATTTTCTTTTTGCTGATGTTTTCAACAAAATTAATTTGATAGAGTTATTAGAGGAGGAAAATTAAAAGGACAAAATCATCCATGAATCTCATTAAAATGGAAACCTGGAAGAACTGGGTAACTGGGCATTGATTCTGTCCTCTCCCCTCACTTTATGAGCAGTATTGTATTAAAAGTAATGTGTCTGCAGGATGATGCTTTAACATCTTACTGCTGAAACAAAAGTATTTGCATGTTTTTTCCTCTCTACATTCTTCCAACATCTGCATGTGTAGCTCTGTCCTGTGTATTAATCACATCTAACACTGCTCCTTTCCAGGGAAAAGGCATCAAAGGGAATGGGATCCTGCCTTTGGTTGGGAGGGGATTGTTTTGGTGGGGGATCAGGCATTGCCATTCACTCGTATCAGATATTGGGTGACTGGCTGTGAATGGGTTGTGTGAGTGAGTGAGGGCTCGGGGGGCTCATGAAGCCTATGCACAGGTTTGGTGCACTCAGGTGTGTTTATAGGGGACAAAGATGTTCACAGGCTGTGGCCTGTCTGTCTTCAAATATTTATGTCACATTATGTGATTAAAACTGTGTAAATAGATAATCTTCCTTATTTTCTGATCTCTGCATATTTGCAGGCAAATCACAATTTTTAAAAGTATTTCACATTGTAGATGCTAAATAATTGTGCTGGGATTTAATTTTTTTTTTTACCTTGTAGGTTGATCCAGTAAATTAATTCTAAATCTAGCTTGCTGAATGTTTGCTATTTCAATCACTCTGGCTGTGATTATTGTGATAGGAAGCAATCTACTTGCTTTACTTTAAGTTTTGGGTGTTTGCTAAAATAGATATGGTTGCATGTACCAATCTTAAGATTCAGTTTTTTAGGAGCATGACTTGTTTCCTTCTCTTCAGTATTTGTGCTATAAAAAACCAGTTGCATAAAGGTTCATAGCAAGAAAATAGAAAAAGCTGGGCAATGGATTTAAAATAATATTTGGAAATATTTTCTGATCTCCTATTATAATGATGTTAATTGTGTCTTCCAGTCTTGAAAGTAAGGATGGGAAATTTAAGCATGGGGAAAGCACGTACTTAAATCCATTCCTATCCAGCAAAATGCTTGAGCTTAATTTTAAGCATGTGCATAAGTTATATTAGTTAAATAACTCATAACTGCTTGCTTAAATCCAGACAGTGTTAGACTGACTAAATATTAGAATTGCAAGGTATATACTGCAGTAAAAAAGATAAATATGGGTGTTGGTTTTGCCATGAACTTGTCAGTGGTTTTGAACTTTTACAATCATTTTTATGGCATACAGTTGAAATCAGAAAAGAATGGAAATTTCAACTAATTTTTTTAATATGCTGAAATGTATTAAGTTACACAAAAGAATCCATATTATAGTAATCCTGCACATATACAGGAAAGAGTACCCAGCGTGCATGGCAGATGGTTTCAAAGGAAATCCTCGAGAGCTAGGATTAAAAAGCAATTTTCAGCAAGTTTAAAATGGGTCTCCATATTTGGGTCACAGATATTAACTCTTTCATTGCAAACAAATGAGGGAGAAGTCTGGGTGGATTATTATGGAAATGTTTCTCCCAGTAAAAACTGACTCGGTCGTGCTGGGGAAGAAAGGTGTGAGGAGGTCAGTTGATTCTGCCCCTGATCCTGTTCTCACACCAGTGGGAAGCAGAGTTGTGGCATGCAGAGGCAAGGGGATGTTGCAATACGTGGAATTCATCATTCCACAAACAAACACTGGTAACCCTCTGAAAAATAATGTGTGTGTGGCTTTGATCTTCGTCTGCCCACTGAAGCAAAGTTCCATAAAGGCAAACTGATAAGTAAGTTTTGGCGTGTTAGGAACAGCAGATTTATACCTGTTTACCTTTAGTAAATTATAATCAATCCCTTTGTTAAAGTGTAAAGACTTTCCATGTAGCATTTTTGTATTCCTTTTGGATATGGCAAGCGTGTATGATAAAGGATGAATAAGAAATTGCACAGCGGTGCTGTTGTTCCATTGTAGACAGGAAGGAACATGGGCTCTGAATTTGGCTTGGAAGTCTGTCTGCACACGGTAAACAAGCCTGTGTTTTCTCAAACGTGTGTTAGAGGCACACTAGAAATGTTTGTTTGTAAAGGTTATATTCTTAATCAAAGAATACCATGCAGACATTGTTCCAGGCTGCAGCTGGTCAGTGGTGGTGTACGAACATCCAGGAATCTTGTCACCGGGCTGATGCACAGAAGGGATTGAGTGCAGGTCAGCTTCGTACCGTGGGATCAAGAGAAGGCACTGGGCTTTGAGTACATAAAAATAGCACAGCAAGTTGGGGATTATTGGCTTTAACTAACTTATACCAGCTAGTAACTGTGTTAGGAGTGTAATTCATATTTACAATCAGTGCTCTTTATACACTTTGACAGTGCAAAGGAACCTCAAGTTTGACATGAACTAACTTTTTCTTTAAAAGACTTTTCTACTTCCAAAGTAGAAATTCAAGTTAGATCTTAAGCATGTGTCTATCTGAACAATGAAATAGAGCAAGCATTTTGTGGTGTTCCCAAAGCTCAACTGGGCATATTTGGAATAGACTTGGAAAGCTTTCTGAGCCAAGGTGCCTGATGCTCTGCTAAGTGAATTATAAAAGAAACTGCTGGTTTGAATATCAGCCTAAGGAGAAGTTAATTACATTGCTCTTTGGGTATTACATTGGCTACAAGTTAACAGTGAAGGACAGGGCACTTCTGAAAGGGCACCTGAGTTTCCTGGTGGGAGAGCTAAGTGTGGATCTGCTGTTAATTAACAATGCTAAGTAAGAGGTGTTTTCTGCAGGACTGAGCCAAGGTAGTTACTAGACGTCCTATCTGCTCTCAGAAAATTTAGACAGTGGATGAAAATAGGGCAGCTTTTGGTGTTCAGTTGTTGTACCAGAGCTAGAAAGCATCAGTAGACTCAGGATGAGCTTTTAAAGCTGCATCTGTTCTTCTGGGTCTTTGTTTCACATCGCCTGCTGCAGGAAATCTGCCTGTGTGCATCTTGATAGGGCCTTCAGAGGGCAAATAGAATCGCTGAAATTAGATACCAAAACTTGAACATCCCAGGCTGTTGTCAACCATGGTGTGTCACCAAGTTACGATACTATTAATACCTGGAGAAAAAAATGTCATCCATGGCAACAGTTACCTTTGATCCAGGTGTTTGTAAATGGAGGTTGGAGTTTTGCCTTAGATTTTTCAAAGACTTGCATCTTTCAAAGGGAGGCAGAACAGATCAGTTCGGAGTCTTTGTCATTGTTATCTTCCAGGATTTTGTTTCAAGTAGTTTTTCGAAGTCTCTGCAAGATGATTTGAGATAAAAACACGATCCAGATGTCTTTGGATAGTCAAAGCAATCTGTTCTCTTGACTACAACAGACTTAGGAGAGGTTCTAAATAAACAAATCAGTGTTGACTTTAGAGAATGCGTTGATTTCCTTTACTCACAGTGCAGTTGAATGTTTGATAAAGAGGAGCTTCTTGTGTGCCTTCGGTTGTCTCCTGGGTCTGAGGCAGTTTTTTGTCTTGGCCAAACCCGATAGAAGGGGAGTAAACTCATGCAGATCACTGAAAGGTCAGACAGGTGGGAAACAGAAGCCTGAATTCTCCTGTTAAGGGCCAAATGAGAGTCCTCCAGAAACCACACCGGGGTGCAGCTCTGTAACAGTGTGGACATGCAGTTAAAATGTGTTAAAGAGAATACTGTAAAGTAATTGCTATGTCATTGTACAGAGTTCTGAGCGCTAGAAACTGTAACTACCTTTCTAAATGAGGTAAATGCTTTACCTCCAGCAACTCTTATCAGGAAATATTGAAGGTTCAGTTGCAGGGCTTTGGAATTTCTATTTTAATCTTTCTGTAGTGTATGGTTATTAAAGTTTCTCTGAGTAGATGACTGAAAGCAATAACCTATTTGTGTTGAGGCCATGCACTGATGTCTGAGATAACGGGTCAGACAGAAGTGGAAGCTTCCACGGGGATAAAATGGGCTTTGGATGGACTTCTTGGCACTGCTTTATTGATGGCACTTTAAGTAGTGATTTGAGGAGAAGCAGATAATGAAAATTGATTCTTCTCTGCAGGTCTCTCGCTTACTTTTGGACTTGGACAGACCTAATCTGTGAAGATAATTAAAGTTCCTTTGCTCTGGATGCTGTAAGTGATTTTTTTGTTTGCTTTATGGAAGTCATTAGGAGCCTATTTGCCTCACACAGGGAAAAAGGTGAAAATGCCAAATCATAAAGAAATGGTAGAAATGAAGTTGGTTGAAAATTGATATATATATGTGACCGTACATGTTTGCAGGAAATATTTCTGACCAGCCTTTTGTATTCAGGAACACCCTGTCTGCAGTCCAGCCACGCTGATGAGTCCAGTAGCAGAACCCAGATTGCAAATTGCCAGTAAAGATACCAGAGGAAACAATATTTTCATACTTCTGTCAGGACTACGGCTAGGTCAGGAATCTTGTCATGGTGGAGGCACTCTCTGTTGCTGTGTGTATTGTATCTGGTTGAGAATAAACACCTCAGGTATCAGCATTGACCAAAATATCGCACGGAGAGGTCAGAGGGGGAAAACTTGGGAATGAAGAATGTTCCCATTGGCAATGGCACAGGGCAGTGCCCCTGGCTCTTAGTTAGCGTGGCAGCTGTTTGAGTTCCAGGTGCCATGATAGCATGAAAGGAGATTATAAATACCTTTTACTGTTCAAAAGACTCTCCCAGGAAAGACCTGCCTGCCTGAAAGTCTGTCCCTGTAGCAGCGTGGCTTCTGCAGCATCTGGGATAATGCTCCCCTGCAACAGGGAATCAGCTGTAGCTGGCACTGCAGGGAGACAGGGCTGGGTAGGAGGCTGGAAACAGAATGCCATGGCTTTGATCTTGTGGCAGCATCCCTTGAGGGTCCTTAGGACACAGTTCTCTGCTGGTTGATAGTTACAGGTGTTAAGGACATTTCTTATTTCTACAAGACTGCCTTTAAAGCAGCTGCTGTTCTTCCACCAATGAAAACATGCAAAGAGCTCTTCGTATCCCCATTTTCCCCCCAAAGCTGTGGGAACGATTTTCTGGCTTGTAGAACAAAGAAGTTGGAACAGATGACACAGCCAACATCTGCACCTGGCTCACTGAGGAAGCGAGTATTTGGCACGGAGCAGAACTCCCTTCTGCCAAGGGAGCCGTGCCGATGCGTTGTTCAGGGGTAAGGATGGGATAATGTCTTCTCCTTTTTGACTCACTGAAGATATTTTATTGATCTGTCAAAGTCAAAAATTTGTTGGGAAGGAAAATGTCTTTTAAATATCAGAGGTTAATTAATGGTTAATGAAACCTTTTCTAACCAACCCTGTTAAAATTATGATGGTGTATCACTTCAGTTCCAATGGCAGACACATCACATATGGGTTGCCATTTTGATGACTTTGAATGGTAATCTGACCCATAAAAACTGAAGCATAATATGCAAACTGATTTTTTTCTGGCCTGCCCTGTTCTTGGTGCCATCTGTGTTCGGATGGAAACAAGCCTGCTCAAAACGTGGGCTGCCGGTTTGGGGCTGATCACAGATGGGCTTTGAAGAATAGCCTCGTGTGCACAAGGAAAGAGGGAAGATGCTCCTGAGAGCAGGAAGTTTCACTTGGAACCATATTATGTCTGCTAAATCCTGTGGCCTGTGGAACATCCACCAGACCTTGCCCTGAATTTGTCACATGGATTAAATAAACTAAACTTACATTCTAAAAATCAAGAAAAACCCTTCAACTTCCAAACATTGCTCTTCCTCCACCACTGCCTTCTACTGCTGCCATTCATAATGGAATAGAGTGCAGGAAGCTGACAGTGCCAGATGCTGTCAGGTGTTTGCAGTGCATACATTCAGCAAAACCAGGCATGGTAAATTATTTCATGAGATTTGTATCTACATGCAGTTTTAATCTGCTGTGTGAATCCTGTTGAAGTCACAGCATTCAGGCTGCCATTTCTGGGTTCCTGTCTCTGACAATTAACCAAAATCTGTGTTGTAGGTGCAGATGAGTACCTATCCTCTACTGCTGCATCTCAGATCAAAAATTCAGGTGTTTAAGCACCTAATTCTCACTGTAGTCAATGAGAACTTAGTTCTCTTCTCATTTTGAGAGAGCCTGTGCTCTGAAGTTAGACTGACCTTGTCTTACGTGTAACCACAAGTGTCCTGGTACTATTTATAATCCCAAGAAACACATGAAATAGTTTTCACTGGTTAGGAATATGGTCTACAGAAGTCTGATTTATTTTTTACTCTCTTTAAATCGATTACGTTGTTTGAGTGACCGTTTGCTTTGGCAGAAAAGAAGCCCCTAGAAGGCAACACTCATCGATGACTGTCATGGTCATGACACACTCCAACATCCCTCTCAAGACATCTTTAAGCCTTTTATTTCTAGGCTAAATAAACACCAATTTCAGCAATGTCTCATCTACTCCCTTTAATTACTGCTGCTGAGGGAAAGTTTCTGCCAATGCAAATGTGCTATTTTGTCATGTCACATCAAATTGCATCAGCCTTATATTTAGGAACAAAAAGAGGGGGAGGCTGAGACAGGATGTGGCTACAAATGGAACCAAAGGGTTTTCTTAAATATAGGCTGAAAATAGACAATCAAGGCAGTGATGCTTTTTCAAGCAGAAATCCATGAAAGGGAAAATCAAGGCTGTGATGGCAGAACGGCAAAGGAGGGCCGGGGTGTGGGCAGAGGGAGTTCTGGGGGAGGAGAGAGTGGTGGAAGGGAGAGGCTGAGGAACTTCTCCTTTACGCAGACACCCTTGCCCTGTCAGATCCCTGTGCAGTGCATTTAGGATGTGTCAGCCCACACCTCCTCCCCTGTGCAGGCTGAAATAACTGGGGGCCGTTCTTCCCTCCGGCTTTACAGGCCTGTCCTTTCCCTGAGCTCGGCTCCCCTTCCAGCAAGAGCTCCCTAAACCAGAGAGATGGTGGTAAGTGGGCATAGAGAAAATTTGAGTAGCTGTCCAAACAAATGTAGGAGACTTCAAACAATCCCTCGCACTGCTTTAAAATGTAGTGTCTCTTCAGAAATAACAATTTTTAAAAATTGCTCTTCAGAAAGGGTTAGCAGCTTCCCCATGGAAAACACTTTCTGCCCTCTTGGAACTGGGCACAAAATGATCTGTTGAAATCAAATGCATAAATTATGCATGTAGTGGAACTTGCTTTGAACTGATGAGTCTGATCAGAGCCTGGTGGCAATTATACTGAGTTTTGAAAGATCAGCTGTGTTTGAGAACCAGCAGAACTTGGTGTGGATGTGATCTAGGGGCGTGCAAGCAGCACCTACTTAGCAAATTGGAAAAATACTATTCATTTCTTACTGCTCAGTACTTGGAATCTCTCCTCAGAAGCAATTGGTGGTGTTAGAGGTAATATTTTTGTTCTTGTCACCAAGGATAATAAAAATGCAGTAGAGGCTTAGAAGCTTGTGTATTTAGAGTCCTGTGACAGATGTAGTCAAGCAGCATTTCAGACAGAACCAGAGAGCAAAGGCACCCAGGTCCCATGGTTAGATGTCAGTGGTCCTTCAGGACTGTGAAACACTGAATACAGTGATGCTGTCGGTTGTTGAATTCTTTACAACAGGCAGATAAGAGCCGTGGTGAATGCACCCCCACAGTGCAGCTGGATGGACCCATGCACTGATTCCCCCAGGCTTTATGGAACCACCTGCAGCATGTGGGGTCTGTGCAGGGGCTGCAGGTGGCACAGGGAGCACAGAGAGCAGGGGTGTGCTCTGCTGCAGGGTTTGGGGCTCTGCCTGCTCTGGGTTTGGGTTGTGCATCCCCTGACCTGCTGGCAGGGGCCATGTGACAGGGTGTGCTCCCGACAGGGTGGAGAGAGGAGGGCACAGTGCTGTAGATTCTTCAAGCATTAACAGATATTAATAGAATTCCTTCTATTTCATTGTCGTTTAACTTCCCAAGACTTAAGAGAACCACATCTGATTTATGCCTCTGACTACTTTTTTTTTTTTTAATATACAGGCATTAAAAAAGCCTCAGTAAAACGTGTGTATTTTTATAGCAGGAAAGCATTTCTGTTATACTTTTTCAAAGCAAATCACAGAAATATTAAATGGGGAAGGAGAAAGATAGATGTTTGGTTTTTATAGTTGGGGTTTGTTTGTTTTGAACTGAATAAGTCTGAAAATACTAGATAAAAACTGCAGATCAAATGAAAAGACTCCATAAGCATCCTCCAGATTGTTCCTCAAAAAACCACTCAACTGACAACAGTACAACAGGAAAATATTCTTAATTAACGTCTTCAGTTAAAAGAAATGCATTGTGGATCTCTTAAATATATTATTAAATCTGCATTGTTTAGATAATAGGATGGGGACAGACACTAGTGCTGAGTACTGTGTCAAATTCGTCAGGGCCTGCTCTAATTCTAGTGCACTTGCTGGATTTCACAGCTATTTGTCTGGGTACTGGCGTAATTTGGAGGGTTGAGTGAAGCCAGATGACTGTAATGAACTCATTTTGTGTCTTTGACTCATTCTGGCAAAAAACCCCCATGCTATTTATGGGGTATTTTGTATTGTTAAGACTTCTATTCCTCCTGTCTCTCAAACTTTCTCTGGGCCGCTGCCTTTGCACCATCACCAGTAATTACATCAAATTAATTCAGCATAATTGAGTTAATTATTAGCACTGGGGTTTATCAACATGACTTCAATTGAACCAAAGCTTTTATCCTGCTTTTCCTGAGGTTTCACCAAATGTAAACAAATCTGAATCATGGGTGAAACTTAAGGCAGCTCCCTTTCCGTCAAATGTTTTTGCCACTCAGAACTGTCCTGCCTCACTCGTTCTCTCAGATGGCTGTTCATAAACGAGCTGCAAAGGGAAAAGAATACTCTGACATTCTGTATCAATGTCCAATGCTTTAGAAACAAAGGAAATATTTTAATCATCCTGGAACCATTTGGTCAGAGCCAGAAGTGTAGAATAATCCTGAACAGAAATTCATGCATAGAGAGGATGTTGAACCTTGTTTAGCTGACATACATCAAAAAGAATTAAGACACAGGTTCCAAGGATTCAGAGGATGGCTTTCTGAACAGGGATGCAGTTGTGAATCACTGTAAGAAATTATCAACAGCACGATTCCTGGTGCGAGGTGGTAGGTTGAGAACCGCAAGGTTCCTATTCCCAGCTCTGCTGCTGGGTGACTTTACAGAAGCTGTGTAATTTTCTGGAGCACAGTTTCTTTTCTCAGGTATTTTTTTCTCTTGGAGATCCAAGAGCCCTGGGTTTTCTCTTTCTGCTTGTGCTGCACTTTTTTTTTTGATCTCTTACAGCAAGAGTTCTGAGCTGGACACTGGGATGAAGAGGGAATATGGTTTGAACTTAACTCTATAGACAAAAGAAACTTTTTCCCCTTAACTTTGTCTCAGCTGAGCTATAAATTAGTTGAGGTCCTCAGCAGAGCTGAGGTGTGTTGTGTGTAATCCATTAAAAGCAAGCCCTGTACCATCAAAAACAAAGGTCCTGCAGAGTGCTGGAGGTGTGTATACATTTGCAATAGGTTGTTGTGTTCCTAGCCAGACTTTTCCTTTGTTTTTCTTATGAAAAAGGTGTCTTCTTTCTCTTTAAGATGGACTAGGCCATGGAGAGTGACAGTGAAGTTTTTGGGCAAACCTGAGCTGTGGCTTTAAGACCTCAGACCTGTTCCTAAGACGTGGCAGGCTCTGTCCCTGATTAGCTGTTGGTATGGAAACAATCCCTGCTTAGGGAGCTGGGCCAGTTACAATCCCTAAGAGGCTAAAGGCTCCCAGACTTACATGTCCTGTAATTCTGCTGCTTATAAACTTGCACCCAGGAACAATATGGATCTTGCTCAACATGTGGTGGGTCAAACTCATCCATGGTTTACTGTTGTAAACCACAGACAGAGTTTGTGCCAGTGCAGGGGTTGGCTCAGATTACTGTTATGAAGGATTGGGAGATGGTAAATTTTAGCAGGTGTGGATTTGGAATAATGAGACAGCAAGTTGTTCCTGATGCTGCTGTGAAGGATATTGGGAATTGGGAAGGACAATTCCAGGACAGATATCCTGTAGATCCTAGAGCATGGCATGAGCCCCATCGTCCCTAGTCCAGGAATTATGTGCACAATTAGGGCTGCAAGGGATGTGCTGGGGGAGCAGTAAAAGGAGAGGGTTTATTCACCTGTAGGCTGGGTGTGATGTTTGCACTAAAGCAATGTTCAGAGGTGTATGTTATGCATTTTTGGATCAAAAAATGGTTTCTTTTATTAAACTTTAGTCAATAGTGTGGGTCACAGTGACTTCTTTTGCTGTTTCAAACTCTGATTCTCCACCTTCACATTACTTTTGTACTTTCCTAAGCAGAGCTCTTTTCTGTACTGCTTTCTGACAGCTGCATGTTTTACCCTCTCTTCTTTTTTTTAAAAAAAAGGTGAAGTTGGATCACATGAGCAAAATGAGCCCTTCTAAAGAATAAAGTTAAAATAAACTTTAACCACTTTCAGGCCTTCTGAACCAAATGAGGAACCATGACAAAACCTTATGTAAGACTCACGACTCTTCCCATGCTTGTCTGACCCATAGAGTCAATATGTTCATTAATCAGACAGCGTGTTTGTGCCCTTCAGAGGCCCTTCCATGCCTTATGCTGCCAACTGGGTATCTGTCCTTCGACAAAAGATGTGGTAGCTTGTTTAGTGCCCAGCTGGAAGTTATAGAAGGTGATATAACCCCAGACAGAAAGTTGTTGCACTAAATGGCATAAAGTAGTAGGGAGAACCGTGATGGCTAAAGTGTAACTAAGCACTGGAACATTTCAAAGTACAGTATTTACAAGAAAGGAATGAAGGCAGTTTTGGTTTAAAGTTGATTGTACCCAGTTATAACTCAATTCCTATTCAGGCATGATCCCAAAGGTAAATACTTACAGATTAGACCACTGAGAGCAAAATTCCTGTTGACAGCAGTTGAACCGAGCAATTCACAACTGAGGAGATAAAGTTCTTTTGAGACTGTGACTTTCAGAATTTTCTTTAATCCAGAAGTCATTGTCAGGAGAAAAAAGTAGAGAAGTTTGGATTGCACCTAAAGGAGGGAGATTTCTGTCCTCCCACTAGTGAGCATGCTCCAAAGAATATTACTCTCATTAGTCTGAACAGGCCTATTAATTATCCAGAACAGGGTAATCTGGCCTCAGTGTGGGCAGTGTGTTTCCTCACTGGTATTGGATTGCAAGAGCCTCAGCGTTTTACTTGCAGTTTGATGTATTGCAGGTCTGCTGCGTGATACTAAACCAGGTGTAAGGTAAGACATCTGCCCTGTGGCTGTGGTTAATTTATACAAGTGGTCATTATGCCCAGCTCCAGCAATCTTTGCCATCCTCAAGTTTCACCAATTACAGCTTTATATTTGCAGGGAGGCAACCGGTGAGTGTTGAGTAGCATTAGGGCTGATCCTGATGCTGTACAACTACATGAAGGGTGTCCAAGCAGTGGTGATTCCTTGTCAAACAGATCTTTGGGATGTGTCATTAGCCAGTTCTTAATCCCCTGTGTGCTCTGTGAATGTTGTGTAAAGCAAACTTTATATGCAGGGCTGTGCCCCCAGATTGTGCTGGCCTGGCACTGTCACCTGGCACTGCTTCTGCCTCGTGCATCCAGCAAAGCATAAGGGGGAGAAGAACAGAAATAGAAGTGAGCAGAACAGGACTGGCTATCATCACTCAGGCAATGGGACTTTGCAGATCGTATTTAGAAAGGACAAAATCCACAACAATGACCGGCCACAGCTCGTCAGAAGCGATCACATCAAACCAGCAGATCTCAATAAAAGCCCAGCGTGCCGGAGAGATGTGGTTATGGGGAAGTGACTGCGGCATTGTACGTGCTCACCCACACACGAGGGGAGCTGGAGCTGCAGGGCAGGCCTTGCCCAGGGCTGTGCAGAGGTCTGAGAGGATGTGAGCGGGTGGGGACGGATGGTGGCTGGTTTGCCAGGGGCAGCAGAGCCCATCGCACCGCCCGGAACGCACCAGACGCTCCGTGACCTACTGGGGGATGAGGGAAGAGGAGACAGTGCCACAGCCAGGGAGAGCTGCTGGGTCCCTGGGAGCGGGGAGGGCTGTCTGTGCTGAGGGCAGTCACAGCCTGCAGTCACAGCCTTTACTGCACTTACCAGCTGGGATCCTGGGAAGCCTGGAAGGGAGGACGGATGCGACCAAAGAGTAAGAATCCTTCTGGGTAGCAGCAGTTCACTTGGGTCTTCCTGGACTGATGACAAAACATGAACCAGGATGTTCTGTGGTTAAAGAGGTTTCAAGAGGCTTCCAATTTCAGTCTTATTTTGGCGGTTTGATTATTACTTTCCTGGGATCGTGAGGTTTGACTGGGATAGGGAATCGTAAAGTCCTGGGTTAGGTTTCTAAAGGTGTAATCCTTTGAAGTAATAAAACACACTCCAGCCTGCACACGGGAGCAAGAGAGGAAAGGGGGAGCCAACCTGAGAATAGCAACAGCTCAGGTAACTCTTGCAGTCCTTTAATTAATGCTTCCAGTCTCTGGAGCCCAGCTTTGGTGGCTGTTTAAGTAGTCTGGAGGGATTAGGATTCTAACTGTTGAACTGTGGGGATTTGCTTGGAAAACAGTCACAATAGCAGGGAAAAAAATGAACTGAGAGCAGTGGCATAGTGTCATCTCTGCATTATTGAGGTTCAGCTGTGCACAGGGTCAATTGCCAAGCTGCCAATGCAGAGTGAAGATTAATTGGCTTTGGTCAGCCTTTGCTTCACTATCTGAATATCATTATCAGGAATGTAAATGATTATGCAATGCAGAGAAATGCCACAATAGTCTCAGTGTCTCCTTTATACTTGTCTCTTTTTGAACAGGGCTTTATCTAAATGCAAATGTGATTTCAGCCTTCTGATTAGGACATTATACAGTCATCCATTCCAGAAAAGCACAATTAGCAGATTATTTTATTTCTGACTCAACAGTTCTTGCTTTAGATAGTTTGTTTGTTGTGCTATGCATGATATTTAAGTTATCAGAAGGAGATTTACATTATTAGTCAGGATTATAGCCAGATTTTGTGAGGTCGAGGGTTTTTGCTTGGCAGATAAAAATGGTAACATTTGTGGGATTCGAGGGGGGATGTTTTTAGAACAAAAGGCAACTGTACAGATTTTTACAGTGCTTCATTGTGTCTAGGAAGGGGCAGATTACAGTAGTACGGAGTAACTGTGCAAATTCTCCAGTGCCTTGGGATGTACAAGGGCAGAGTGCAGCCTCACCTGTTGTCAGGATCTAGTCTCTGTTGTGGTGTGCTCATGCAGGGCCCAGTATCCTGGAACTTAACAGTGGGGCAGCTCATGAGATCATTTCTTACTAAACATCCATTTTACCAGAACAGCCATCAGGTTTTCCGTGCGCTGTGGTGTGATATTGCCAAGATTGAAGTTACATTCTCAGAAAAACATGGATCTTTGGTGATAAACTTCCCTGTGAAGCATGTCCATTTCACAGCATTTGCAGCATTTTTGGAGCTGTGAATCTGTCATAACTCAGGACTTTTTTTTTTTTTTAATTTGAGTCTCATGCAGTTTAGGTTTGATAATAGACATGGTGAAAATTTCCATCTCTAAATCTGTTAGAAAGTATTTATGGGAAGGTGAAGGATTTTTTCCCCCCCAAAATTCATTGTTGCAAACGTATTTGTCAGGTGATGTGGTTTCAACAGCTCATCATTTTCCTGAGAAAAATTACTGCAGTGGAAAATTCTCAATTACCTATAGTGAAACAACATTTTCAGTTCCATTGATCAATTTAATCTTTCCATAGTCATATATTTCCATGCCTGGTTCCTTGCTCTCTCCCAGAGCTGCTTTTCTTTCTGCTGGGCCAAGCTGTCCAGGGCAGTCCCAGCACAGGAAGGATCTCTGCATTTGTGACAGGAAATCTATTGGACCACTTAGGTTTAATTAGAGCACAGTGACATATGATGAGATCCCAACTTTTTCTACACTCCGGATTATGGAATGGGTCCATTTTTGTCTTATCATTATTAATCTACATTATTCTCAAATACCCATTTTAAAGGTCCCTTCCAACCCAAAGCATTCCATGACTACATTTCTATTTTCAAACTAGGACACAGACTTGGAATCATCCTAGCTAATTTAGGATGTAACTGCAGGATCTAGTTTTGCTGCTTCTTCTGTGTTTGATGGAGAGAAGGGCAGGGATTAATTCAGTCTGTATGTTATGAGTCACATTTTGGAGTTGCTTATCTTTCTGCTGCTTGGAGGGGAATGCAGGGATCTCTGGGTGTGTAATCACCTCCTGTACTTGAGTGCCAAAGTGAAATGAATCCAAACCAAAAATGCATGGAGCTGACACCCAGCATAGGTTTCATTGCAGAGAGAAAATTTCATTTCAGAGAAAAAAACATTGGAAGAAAACAAGAGATGAACACGTTAAAGCCTGGGGGTATTTTGATCTGTATTCTAAGCCGAACTTTTTAGCTAAAGTCACAGTTAGCACATCTTGTGTGCTTGGAAAGTGAGGGAGCATTAAAGTAGGCAGACTGAAGCCATTTTGAAAAGTCAGCTCCTGGTCTGTATTTCTCAATTTTTGTAGTATCTTCCTGCCCTCCATATGGGACATTTTTTAGAACAGTATCCAATTCCTGTAGTGTGTGAAGCCAAATGGCTTTTATTAAACAAATAAGGAAAAACAGAACTGGAATCAAACAAGCAGAATGAGAAGATGCAGCAGCAGCATAGAGCCAACTTATTGCCCTCACGATGGAAGATTGGTGTGCTAATTGTTCATGAAAGCTAATGGAAACCATATTTTGGCTGTGAATAATTCTCAGGAGGGATCACTGTGGAGTCTTACCTCATTTCTCATACTTTCCTGGTAGAACATCTCAAGTATTCCAAAGCAGACACACCTCATGAAGCTCCAAGTGCAGAAAGTGGTGGTCAGGTGTAGGTCCTGGAGCAAGGTGGCACCAACCCGGGATGAGGGAGCTTTGCTGGCACATCACTCACCTCTCAGGGGCTGGTGCACACTGGCAAAGGGCTCTGATTATTCCGGTTGCTAAATGGATTTTGAGAAGTCCAAATGAACTGCACAGAACCCATTTCAGGTGTAAGGGAAGATGTCAGTACAAGGGAGCAGGAAAGGGATTCTGACGTACGTTCTTCAAAGGTTTCTGCCTGTTAAGCCCATTGTATGTCTTAGAATTAGTTTTACTAATTTGCATCATCAGCTCAAGAGACAGTCACCCTGGTAAATGCTTCCTTGAGGCAGCCATCTTACCCCTTGGAGGCTGGAAAAGCTTTTTCTGAAGTGTCAGCAGAGCCTTCCCTAGGAGCTTCCAGTGCTGTGGCCAAGGGGCTCAGCCCCTGCAACAGCTCCCGCTGCTCTTACAAGATGTACTCTCCATTCCGAAAATCATCGGAAGCTGGAGTTGAGGCAGCCCTTCAGCAGGGACCAGACACACCCTGTCCTGAGTGCTCAGGAGGGACCCTGTGGGGGTCTGTGCCAGCAGCAAAGCAACCTCGTCGAGGCACACCCCCCCAAAAAGACATTCTGGGTGTCTTGTTGTGGCTAAAACATTAAAGCTTTTCAGTGGCCTCTGCCACTGTGAGTTAGCAGAGCTTGTTACAGCTGTAGGGCTGTGCTAATTGATATCTACTTAGTTAAAGACATGGAATTTTCATTTACTGAAAATACAAATTACAACGGTACATATCCCATTGCAATGGGTATTTATAGGTGCATAATGAGGAGGTTTTATCCACTGCAACAAGACCTAGTCTGTGCAAATATACAGCCCAGGCATGTGATAGCTGTGGTGTTCTACTCTGAAATAAATTTGGCTGAAAAACTTAAATTACTTAAGAAAAAGAAAAAAATGTTCCAAATAATGAGTAATTATTATAACAGGTACTAAAATAATGCCATGCATCTATTTCATTATTCAGTTGCTTATTTATTATCTTTATTCTTAAAAGTAATGATATAAAAGTGCTTTTTTCCAAATGTTAATTTAGTTCTCTGCAGATGGCAACCATCTGTTAAATGACAAGGCATTTACAGTCTTTGATTAGCACTTTATAGAGCTTGGATGAACTTATTGTTACAATATTTAAGTATAGTTATGGAGGTGAAACTTGGTAGATTTGTTCTTTTCCTGTTGCTGTTACCAAAAAAATGGAAAATTTCAAACCTGACAATGTTTTTGCCTCTCTTCTCCTTCACTTATCTATGTTATTTCAAGTTGAAGCCTTGACATTCTTGTCAGAAGGACAATAATAAGAAATATTGTTAAATTCTAGCACCATTTGTAGCATTTATGAGCGTTCTCATTCTGGAAAGTCACCATGTGGATGAAGTCTTAGGGGTGCTCAAGGAAAGCATTTGAAGGGCTCAACTGATCATGGGCACTTCCTGTGGGCTGTGATCCAGCTTTGTGTGCCCACAGAAAATGTACAGACACTGGGGGTCTGTTTGTGAAATATTGCTCCCATCACAAAGTGATGTGATCTGATTGCATGAGCTCCATCTTTGTCTTTAATACCTTGCTCGGTCACAGCCAACCCCTCTCTGTCCATAAACTCAGCAAGTTCTGATTCATTTCATCCTGGGGTTTCCTGCAAAGTTTCTGCAAGTCCTGATCCTCAGTTCCCTGGCCCTGTTTTCATTGTTCAGTGCTGCCTCCTGTGTTTTTGAGGAGCCTCCTCAGGTGTTTCGGTGTGTGTTTGTGTCCGCAGGTGCAGGTGGTGATGGCGCCGCTGCCGCAGGCGGAGCTGGTGCGGAGCGCGGTGCAGCTGTACCGGTACCTGCTGCGCTGCTGCAGGAGCCTGCCCGAGGACAGCATCCGCCAGCACTACAGGCACCACATCAGGCAGGTCAGCACAGCGCGCCTGCTGCCCACCACTGCGGGGCTGCTTTGCGTTCCCACCAACTTTATAGCTCCTGGCACTTGGGAAAAATAAACCCAGCTATTCTTCTGCAAGCTTGAGACATTAGTGGGTTGGAAGGGTTATAGTGGGACTATGTGAAGGAGCATTGCTTTTTGTTTGCTTCTGAAACCTTCTGTTTTTCTTGGCTTTCATCTTTAATTCTTTTGTTAGTCAAGAGGATGAACATCATTCCTTACTCCATAAACTCATCTTTTATGGCCAAACTTACTGGTTCCTTGTCAGTCATTTATATATCTATATCTATATACCTCCTACCCCCCCGACTGGGTAAATCTCATCTGACTGTTCATGTTCCATACTTCATATGGAAGTGATTTCACGCATTTGATCATGCCTGTTGTCCTGTGTCTCTCCAGTTTTAACATACCAGACAATTTCAGTTCTTGTTTTTGTTGATGATGTATGAAAAGAGTAAAATACTTCACGTGAAATTCCATATGACCAGATTTGTTACGGAAATAGCGTGTCCAGGTGCTACAGTATCTTTACCTTTCCAGACCAACGGTTTATTTTGCATCAAATATTTTTCTAAGATTTAAAAACGATCCTTATTTTGACAACTGTTGTGTTGCCTGGTCCGTGTGACACTTGGAATGTTGCAGAGTTTCAAAGTTCATGCTGATGAAGATGACCCTGAGCGAATCCAGCAGATCATCAAAAGAGCCATTGAAGATGCTGACTGGGTGATGAATAAAGTAAGTGCCTCAGATTGTCTGTGTTTTGGTTTCTCCCAGTTCAAAACAAGAAGTAAATGCTGGAAAGCGAATTCTGAACAGGCAATTTTTGTGCTGACCTGGACATTGAAGGGTCTGGGTGAAAGGAAATACCCAGCCAATAGGGATCTGTGATTGTGACAGCTCTTACTCGTTGAGTATAAGAAAACAAATCAGAAGTTCAGCTTGCTCTAAATACGTGTTGATTTTAATTTACCAAGTGACTGTTAAGTCCTCCTCTCTGCCATGAAATCCAAATGAGAATTGTTAAAGGAGCAAGCAGAGATTAGTCACAGATTATGAAATTATAGCAGTAGCCAAATCCCAGCAGTAACAGCCTAGTCAATAACTGTGCCTGAATCTGATTTTATTCTCCTACAATTAGAATTGTAGGCTTATTCTGAAAGGAAGAGAATAGGCTGATTCTGCTTCAGCCACAGGGGCTGTAGTCTGGTTCTGTGGCAAGCTGGTGATGGACCAGTGTGAGAGGAGGGGCAGACTCACAGTGCCTGCCAAGGAGCATTATTTTACACTGCAGAGAGAAATCCTGTCAAATTTCAATCGAACTTAAAGGAGACAAAGATAAATGTATGTGGATCGTGAAGAGAGTTGTAAATCCTTGTCAGCATGAACTGTTACTTAGTTATGTGCTTTTAAAAAAAAAAATAATTATTTTGTTTTGGGTTTTTTTCCAGTATAAAAAACAGAAGTAGAAGAGGAAGGATGAAGACAAGATGAACATTGGTAAACATCCTTAGAGGACTTGTAGTCAAGCTCAGTGCTGTATTAGAATTATTGCTTGAAGTTTTCTCTTAGATACTACAGATACAGTAATTTATATCTCACTGGGATGTCATGAAGCTAAAGTAATATTTCTGAAGCTATTTAAGTCTGCAAATGAAAAGGCACAGTCGATGTTAAAATTATTGCCTTGTATAATCACAAACTTTTAAGTTAAAGCCCAAACTTGTCTAAGCTATGAGTACCTTCCTCCGTTATACTGTTAGGCCTGGATCAACCCTGGCAGTGTGATACACATCATGCAGGTCCTTTGGTGACGAGGTTCCTCTGCATCACTCCCTGTGGATTTCAGTGACTGAGGAGTTCAGCTCGTGTGTGTGTGACACTGATGACAGCTGTCACTCTGAGAGGTCACACCATCCTCTGTTGTGACCAGAGGTGCGTCCAGAGTGAAGCAGAGGTATGACCAGAGCACAGGGCTGGGGTTGATCCAACAGCCTGGGCTGCCGAGGGGAGAACATGCCATGAGAACTTTCACCCTTCTGAAGCCTGAACCACAGTATTTTCCACTTGCCTGTCCGTGCTACGGCCGCATGTTCACTGTTCTGTGGGCTGGTTGAACTGGTGGCTGTCTCAGTACAGTCGGGGGCTGTCGCTGTCTCTGAGCTGCCACGAGCACAGCCCAGGCTCGGTGTGTGGGTGCTGGGAGCGGCGCAGTCGCTGCCTGGGCAGTGCTGTGCGGCTCAAAGGCCTTCACAGCTCTTTGCAACGCGAAATAAACGTCCTTTCAAAACGGGAGTCCACGTGCTTTCCGGGAAGCCCTCTTTGCGCTGCCAGGACAGGTTCGCAGGTGGGAGCGCTCCGAGCCCTGGAGCGGAGCCGCGCGGGTGTTCCGGCCGCAGTGCCGCGCTCGGCCCGCAGGGGGCGGTGCGGGCGCACCTGAGCGCAGGTGTGTCCCCCAGGGCGGGGGCGGCTCCGCACTGCCCTCCTCATCCTCATCCTCATCCATCTCGCGTGCGGCCCGGAGGGACACGGAGATAAAACCTGGCTCACGGTAGCCCAGCAGAATCTGGGCAGCGCTATATCAGAAACAGGGCTGCAAGTGAATGTGTGTATTGGATCAAAAAATCCCCCTTTGTCCATACTAGCCCTAAACCCTCCTCTCCAAGAATTCCTGGCCTCTTATTCTTCCCTCTGCCATCACCACTATTGTTCCTCTCTCTACTCCCACATTTTTCACATCACCTTACACGCCCTTAACTTTTGTTGCCCTTGTTTTACATATTCCTCAATTCTGTTCTCAGGTTGTCTCTCTCCCCCACTTATTTCTTCTCTTCAAATCCTTTTCTGTCAGATACATCAGAACACACTCAGGTATTATGCTGGGCCAGCCTTCTGCTTGATTTCAGGCAAAGCAGGAAGGTGATAGAGTTTCTCAACAGAGCAGGTGTTTCTCTATGTGAGGAAAGCCTCTTAAGTACATTTTTTTGAAAGTGCAGTCATTTTGGTTTAAACTTTCAAAATAATTCGGTGCAAGGTAGAACACAGAAAGCTTCAACCTTGGCAGTCGACAAGGAATATCCAGTACGATACTGAACAGTAATAAAAAAGCTCAGGCATTTTTGCTGGTAGCTATCTGAGTGTGCTGGTCTGATCGAGAGCAGCAAACAGGTGAGCCGTGCTGCACTCCAGGTCTGGTCTGTGTGTTTGGTCTGCAGCATGGAGATGCACTGAACTTTGTATCACTGCAATGGTGAAAATTAAATCCTTAGTGGGATTAATAGTGTATAAACATGACAGTTTCCTGAACTTTAAATGTAGAGTGCTCAGCAACCCTCTCTGGCTGTAATTGCCTGAATTCTGGTAGTGTGAGATGTACTATTTTGTTCAGTTACAAACTAGGATAATTGCATGTGTTTAAATCACTCTTACGTGCCTGTTATTTAATTTATGGCTAGTTCAAGAAGGAAAGCACCAGGAGCTGGAAGATGCAACCGGGACATGTCTGCAGCTCCAAATGTCCAGGGTGCCAGCTGAGAACATCAGACCAAAGGTATGATAGAGGAACCTATGGGAGGACCAGAATCTGTGACTTGTAGGTTTTGGAAAGTGGTAGAACGTTCAGTTCTTGGTAGGGCACAGAGGAGGAACATGGTTGGTGAGCAGGAGACATCATGACTAAATATTTTGACAGGAGTGATTCAGCTGGAGGGCATGAGGATGTGTCTGAAGGGATTTTGTTGGGGTTTTTTCTCATACAAATATAATCTGGTTTTCAAAATAGTAACCTTTTAATAGAGTGAAAATGCAAAGATAACTTCACTTAGTATACAAATAATTTTCTTGGTGGTGAGGAGAAATGATGCAAACAACTATTTACTTCCCTGAAAGTGAAAGTAATACCAGTGTCTCAGACATGTCTCTGTAATGACTGGGCTGAAGTCATTCAGCTGCACGGCTGAGGCTTTTGTGTTTCCAAGACATTATATAAATTCCATTCTCCAGCAGCACAACCTGAGTCCCAAGATGTTATGTTAACCCAGATGTAGAGGAGAACCTGAACTCTGAGAGGAGATTTGGACAGAGCTTCAATACTTGCAACCAAAATTATTATTCAGAAAACTTCTGCTCAGAAGTCATTTAATCCTGGAGTTGGCCAAATTTAGCACTCACTGACCTGTCTAACTGGAGTTCTCTTCACCTTTGTTTGAGCAACTTTCTGCCTCTGTGCCACCCAGCCCTGCTGAGCCTCAAGAACGTTCCCTGTCCCCAGTGCCAGCGATCGCTGCCAGCGGCTCTAACGGGGCCCACTGGGAGAAAGAACGTGGCCACAGGCAGCTGCTCCTGGGTTCTCTGATGGAACTGGGATCAAAACATCAATCCCAAGTACGTTGGTGCATCTGTGTTTCCATTTTCAGTCATCCAGAATCTCTGAGCATAAAGCTGGTGGGTCAAAGAGACTGTGCTGTGTCCCAAAACTACTCTTGTAGAGTTTCAAACAGCTCATGGTGTTCATGAAGCTGCTGACATAGCCAGGTGTGATGTCAGTGAAAGGAGGCAAGCCGATTCATAGGCTTCAGTTTCTCTTACTGAAATGAGGAACCCGTTTCTGCTGAGTTCTGGTAAGTGATGGCCTGTTGATAGGTGACTGCAATAGCTGAGTGAGTGATTGAGGGCCGGTCAGAAGGTTGTGTCCAAGCCCCGTTTTTGTGGCCTCCCTGATGAGTGCTCCTGCAGTGAGTGATGGCAGCATCAGTTCCAGTGTGGAATAGGATCCCATGCCCCTGCCTAGCCCGGGGTTTTCATTGTGTTTACACAAAGGCAGTAACTACATTCTGCTAACAAAACACTTCTGCAGCTGGTTACGGTAAGACCTTGAGTCAATAACTTATAAGTACTCTACAATTCAGAGCTGAGTGGACCTAACTCTTCAAAGGTTGTGTACTGGCAACTCGTGGTGAAGGAGGTAGAGAGGGTTTCACAGAAGACTTGTTATGCAAGACAAACATTAGAACAAGGAAAGACAGTTGGGAGACTTATGTTTCCCAGGGTGAGATCATGCTTTACATTCTTGCAGTATGGAGAAACAAATCATTTAGATCATGTTACAGACTTATCAACATCCAGTCTAAGACCAGAACCAAAGCTGGTGCTATGCTTTCTGATCTGTGTATACATGACCTTGGGAACCTAAAGCTGAAATTGTGTGGAAATAATCTGTACATTACAAATCTGGAAGTAACGTGCCTAAAATGGAGCAGTGGCAGTGGATTGGTCAATGTGCTTTGTTTAGTGTTTAGGTTCCTGCTCTTAAGCTCTCAGAAAATGGTAAAGACTACTTTGGTTATTGCCAGCCTTGGAGCCTCATGTAGAAACTTTCTGTCTAGTGAATTTTTTTCCTTTAAAAATAAAAAATTGTTTATTTATTCATTTCAGGTTTTGGTATGGAAAATGATTGTGTAAATGTGTGGTTAATGTAAAATACAGGATAGCATTCTGCTCTTCACGTGGCTCGTGGCTTGAGACACATGTACCTCTGATCACATTCTTCTGTCAGAGGTGTTACTGATTTCAATTCACTCTCCACCGAAAGTCATTTGAGCTCTGTGGTACTGAATAGAATTCTTCCAACTCAGGCCAGGCCTTGCTTAGCACCATTTGTCAGTAATTGAATGTTCTTTAAATCACTCTTTAGCACTTTGTAAACTCTTTCTCTCTTGGTTCCTTATGTCACAGGCTTTTTGTTTAGAGGCACTTGAGCTTCAGGATTTGATGCTGAACAAAAACCTCTCTTGCATGGTGTTTGGCTCATTTTCAGATGTCATAAGGAAGTAATCTTTACTGTGATACCATACAGAACAGGAATACACACTATTTCTGGGAGAAACAAATAATATTCACTCTGATCTTTTTTAAAGGAAACAGTTTCTTATTTGTAATAGCTTTTAACTTGGCATTATATATTGTGCCTTCATATAAAGCTCTGATAGGCTGCAAACTGAACAGGCAGCACATCATCTGTGAGTCTTAAACATTCAGTATCGTGATATTTATTCACTGTGAGAGTCCTTGACCTCAAACCATAAGGAGTCTCTAGAGCTCTATGCTCCACAACACTGTGTCCCTCAGTGTCCCCCCAGAAGCAGAGGTGTATTTGAGATGAGCAGCCTCTTGGTCAGAGCAGTGTTCTGAAGCAAGTCACTGACACCCGAAAATGGCTGGACACAGACCCACACTGCCCACTGCCTTTCCTGCAGCCTTCCCTGCTGCTCAGAGCTGATGTATTTCTGCTTGAGCTCGAGCCAGCTGGCACATCTTTCAACTTTTGTATTATTTGATTAATTTATCTTATAATTCTGTCAAGCCAGATTTTATGAAATAGTGTTAACTGAAGTATACAATAATCATCAAGTACTCCTTTCAGTTTGTGATTAAGCAGGGCAGACACATTAACTTTTAAAAAAACCCTGCTCTTTGAAGAGTATTTTCCTCATAATTGTGTTTGATATTTAAAATAGTTTTTAAAAGTTTCGAAGCAGAGAGAGTCATCTGTCGCTTGCAGCTAAGAGCTTGACAATGTTGGTATTTGTCGCTGAGGGAGAGGTCCCTGGCATTGCCCACTGCACTGGTAGAGTCTGAAGAGGACAGTTCTGAGGCTGCTCTTTGCTGTCCTTACCTGTGAACTGGGAGGCCCAAGAAATGAATTTCCCTGTTCTGTAACTATCAACCTTTTCCCCCAGAAGAATCTGCCTTCATGTTCTGCATGGGTCCATTTTGAGAAGGGTTCACTTAATTTTTGGTTTTTTAGTTAGTAACTTCCGAGCCAGCTTGGTTTGGGTATTTCACAGGATCCCAGAATCACTGAGGTTGTTGGAAAAGACCTCCAAGATCATCAAGTCCAACCTGTGACTGATCCCCTCCTTGTCCCCCAGCCCAGAGCACTGAGTGCCACAGCCAGTCATTCCTTGGACACCTCTCTGGGCAGCCCCTGCCAAGGCCTGACCACCCTTTCCATGAAGAAATTCCTCCTGATGTCCCACCTGACCCTCCCCTGGCACAGCTTGAGGCTATATCACTACCCCATATAAAATATCTTTACAGCTGTGGCTGGACAGCTTCAGACTGGATGGCCTTATTACCTGTAGTCTACCAGAGTTCAGCTTCATCGGTTTAAAAACCACTGCACTTTATGTCTTTTTATTATTACAGCTTGTTTTTTTCACAGTCTCTGGTATCCTTCTTAAGTTAAAAAGCGCTGGTATTTTGATTAATATTTCCTGCCTTTCTACAGAATGGATTTTAAAAGATACAAAGTTGACAAATTCTTGCAGCTGATGAGGTTGACTCATATTCTGCATTAGGTAAAATCACACAAGATCTGGGATTTTTTCAGCCTTGCTTGGATTTCTTATAAGTCATTTCATCTACAGAAAGTCAGATGTGTCTCATGGTGTGGAACAAGGAAAACCTGAGTATTTTGTTTTCCACAGTTGTGCAACTGCAAGGGCTACTTTCTCTTTTACTTTGTGTTTTTCCCTCCATTTTTAGAGGTCACAGAAATGATGTCTTTAATCACAGTTTACAGTATAGAATGCAGTTGAATCTTGGAGCTTTCTCTCCCCCAAGAGCTCTGTCAAGTTTGTCCTCTTAGCTGGAAGTATCTCACAGAGTACATGGGAGCTTTATGGCCAAGAGTTTCAAAAGTAATTCTCAGATTGCTTTTTAGGTGCTTAACTTGGGAGACCTCCAACATTATCCTTGGTGATAATCTTACACATTTAACCTCAGGAAAATAAGGTCAGTTCTGTTGTGCTCTTTGATGTGCTGCCCTGTGTGTTTGGGTGTGTGGAGTCTCAGTTCACTGCGTGGTGGTGCAGCCTTGGAGCCGCCATCAACACTTGGGCTGTCATGGGCAAGGAAGAGAGCACCGCAGCTTGCAGGGCTCTCATCCTGGGCACTGCTGAAGAACCCAGGAGAGCTCTGAGCCCCCGTTGTCTCCCACTCGCAGTGCTGTGTCCCCGTGTCTGTCAGCCGGGCGATTGCCGTGCACGGAGCGCCTCTCTGGAGGCTGGCACTGGGTGGCAAGGGCAGGAAATTGGGTGCTCCCCACTAGCGTGGCTCTGAGCTAGGAGGTACGGCCTGGGGATGATCAGTTTGCAACTGTTTCAGAAGCATGGTTTAAAAATACAGAGATCTGCAAACCCTGCTGCCAGCTGACAGAGTAGAGGCTGTAGGATGGGGCAGTGACGCTGGGCCGAGTCTGGTAGTTTCTAATTGATTCAATGCAGTGAAAAGGCATCCAGTGTGTGTTATGAAACTTGAGATGGAGAGCCAATCCCTGCACTCCAGCTTCATTGCTCTCAGAAGCAAAGGTGCAGGTTTTATAGCTGAGGTAATTATACAAAAAATGCACACAATATGAGTGGTATTTAGCATAAAAAGTAATTTGAATGCAATCCATGTCTGGTTGAGAGAGGAACAGAACTGTAAACCCTTTGACCTAAAAAAGAGACTTTGAAAGGAACGGATTGGGTACAGTACTGAACCTTTATTGCATTATGTGGGATGGGGCTCATTTCTTTACTATTTAGGAAGTGTTTCCAATTTGGTAAGTATCGGGAAGAAAGCACAGCTCATAATTACATAGCTTTGCTCTGTAGAACTCTGACGTAGCTCTGGAATTCACAGGGACTGTCTGGGAGACACAGACCTTGCCTTTGTGCTCTATCAAATTCTGTCTTGGCCTATGATAACAAAGGCAGTCTAGATAGTTACTTACCAGGATGTTTCTTTCCCGTGCCGTTCAGGGGTTCTGAGCCAAAGCCACTGGAATCAAAGGGAAGGAATCCCCTGTACTTCGGTAGCATTCACCATCTCACACCATTTCTTATTGCTCTGAATACTCAGAGAAATGGACTGTGCTTAACCATGGTTACCAGAATTAAAACTGAAACAGTTTATGCAGTTACAGGTTAATTAGCAGGTGCAACCTGCATTCTCCTATAAACCTGTGCATGATGTCAGTTTTCTATGGGCTTCATTTCAGTTACTGGAGTTATGTTTGAGGAATATTCCACAAATCCCAGCACTATTCAGGGTACCCTATTCCAACAGCTGCCTCAGGTTCACCTACACGTTGGGCTTGCTTGCTAGGCAGTTCCAAATGAAGAAACAGTTGTTTTAGTCAATGATGGAGGATTAGTCAGAGTTTGTGTGACCATATTTCCAAAGCACATCCTGTGTATGTGACAGGAGCCACAGCACCAGGGACACAGGGAAGCACCACATTGGCAGCACTGCCTGAAGAGAGCTTGCATGTGAGGCTGCTCGTCCCCTACTCACTGACAGTGTAGGATGAGTGTTCCTACAGTTACACAATCATTGGATGACCAACAAACAAATTAAAAAAATAGGAGATGTAGTGAGAGGATATGTTCATACTGACATCTTTATTTAGATTTGTGATGGGAGACAAAATGTCCTAAATTAGTCCAAATATTCAGTTCATGAATTGGAAGTGGAAGCAGAGTAGCAGAAAGTCGTGTTCTGTGATGCTCAACAGAGACTGACCAGGTCTGTATTTCCAGGCATAAGTATGGAGCTGGACTTGCAGCTCAAAATCAACAAAAACTGACCAGAAATACTCTGAAGATGCTGAAGAATGTGCCACAGGAATTGTCTTTTTTGGTAGGGGAAGAGGGACAGTTGCTAGAACAGGAGCTGTAAGCTCATACCCCCACTCTCTGGCACTGTTTCCCTTATGGGAAGGGCACAGGAAGGAAGGAAATTTGCCTCTCACAGAAGGTTTGGAAATGTGATGTAATTCACACAGACACTGAAAGCTGTGCAGGCGTAGGCAAGACTGGCCTAAATGTAGTGCTTAGCAAGGAGTCCTTAAAAACTATTTAAGTAGTAAAAAGAGTCATAAAGACAAAGCAGAGCCATAAAATTGCCTGAGAAGGCCCCTGTCTCCGTCCAGGAAACATGGAGAGCAGGTCAACATGCAGTGGTTTTGTACAGACTGAGATGCACTGGCCGAAGAGTGACATGTGAGTGTGCAGGAAACAACTGAGTAGACCCAGGCAGGTGTCAGGGGCAGTGAGAGCTTCGGAGGTCAGCACAGAGATCACAGGGCAGCAACAAAGACAAGCCTGGGAGTTCTACTAAAATTGTTTGAGCAGCACTCTGTTTTTCACACTGAAGTTTTAAATGTTCAGAACTGAAGTTATTTTATACTTCAATATTCTGTTCTTCATTTCAGTCCATACATTTGTGGGTTTTTGAAAACCAGTATTCAAGTCTCTTCTGTTACCTGTCCCTGGCTCTGCTGCCCTCAGCCAGTGCTCTGTCACTGAAATTGGAGTTCCTCCCTCAGGCCGTGCTTTTACTCAGGGATGCCTTTGCTGCTGCAGCCGTGGCTGAGGATGCCCAGAGTGAGTCAGGAGGTGTCAGCAGTCCCTTCTGCTGGAGCCAACGTGCAGCCAGGCACACGAAATCTGGTTATTGATTGTCTCCTGCCTTTGTCCCTCCCTCCCTTCCTCGCCCCTGGTCATCATATACACACACTGGAATTTTGGAAAGGGTGACTGATGAGGCAATGTTGTTCTTTCTGCACATCTGAGTTTGGCCAAACTGACAGCGAGCAGACAGGAAGGAGTAGGTTTACTGGCACGGCATTGTAAATTTAGCACTCTCTTTAACTTTCATTTTTGCCCTGAGATGTTCACATAGGGAAGTTTTCCACCCTGCCCTGCCATCATTTGACGTGCAGCCTTCCACTGGAGAGCAGGAGGTGGCAAATGAAATGTTACCCTTCCCACCCTCAACTCCTGCTTTTAATGTCCCTTCAATCTGCAGAAACTAAAAAGGAATCCAGACTGGGATTCTACTTGTATTTGCATATTTTCAAGCACATAGGCCTGGGTCTTTTATTTTGCTTTTGACAGAGTTTTTATCCCCATTATAAAGAAAACTTCAAAATAATGAAGAAGCCAGTGAAGAAGAGACTACAGTTAATGGTGAATATGACAAAACCTTAAAGGAACATTAAGCAATCAGAACACACCCAAAAAAACAGAGATGACATCTTGCTAAGTTTGGGGGAAGATTCAGTCAAAATTAATGTTCTTTGGGAAATTAAAAATCAAACCAGTATAAAAGAAGGTTGACAGTAATCAGTGTGAGGAGATGTTTGGGAGCAGCTTTTTAAACAGTAGTTATTATTGCCACTAATTGTATCTTTCTTTGCCAGAAACAAAGCTTCCAATAAAACCAGTGGATCTGTGGAGGTTCCAGAGAATAAAAGCAGGGATAATTGGTGGGAAGCTCTGCTGTCTCGTTGCCTTAGTCTTCATTTTAAGACACGCAGTCCCTGGAGTTGGCTTCCACAGCCCAGTTTCTTTCGTGTGTTTAAGGGTGGAATGTCATAAGGAAGAAATGTATCCTTAAAATTATTTTATTTTTGTTTTTAATCTTCTAAATTAAATGTAGGAAATTGATAACACCGAAGTCTTGCATTTTTATAGGAGTTACCAGTTTCACTTTACATGACTCCCTTAAAGAAGTGGAGGTTGAGAAACTGGAAACTTCTAGCCTGTGTTATCATGTAATTCTCCAGGTCTGCTTTGTATATGCAGTTGTCACTGTTTCTATCCCCATCTTTAGTACAGAACACTTTCGCCATACTTAAGAGAGCTTTAAGGACAGTGACTGAAATGTAGCCCCTTGAGATTTGCAAGCACTGAACAATACGACCAACAGAAGTGGGTCACCCCTGCCCTGTAAGAAGTTCGTATCATACAATTACTGGATGCTCACAACCCACGTGCCACAGGCTTTCCTGGCAATTTCTGGAACTTTTTTAGTGTAGGAATTAGGAGGCTAAAAATGTATTCTTTGCAGATGACATTTTTGGATGAGCAGTGCAGTGTTACTGGCAAACAGACTTGCAGGTAAGATCCCAGGGTGACCTGGTACCCAGGCTGTGCCACAAACACTCACCCTTGCCATTATTTATGTATTTATTTACCTCTGAGTTGAAAAAGTCCAGAGAGGCTTTCCTGCGGCTCAGTGCCTGTCATGACAGGCATTGGAGTCAGCACAAACAGACAGTACTGTCTTACAAAAACTTCTCCAGTATGAAATACACACTAAAGTGTTGCCAGGGAAATGTCTCTCCTACAGTTCAGTGACAGCAAGCTGGGAAATGTGAATGAAGCTTCATAGGCAGTAGAGAGGCAGCACTTCAGCCCAGAAAAGGAACAGAAAGTGAATGAATGTCATCCCAAGGAATTATTTGTACCACAAAGTGGCCACTTGTGACAGGAGCAGTGAACATTTCACCAGAACATGTGAGTGCATTTCGTGGTGTCAATGGCCTGTTGTGCTCCCACTCCATTTCCACTGATTCTCCTATTCCTCAGAGTCCCACCCCAGGTCTGCCCGAATCCTGCTCCTCACACTGACCTGTAATGGTGTTCTGGTGATCCAGAAATACCTTGTTGCAGCTGATCTTACTGCTGGGGCAGGGAGATGGACAGGTGCCATGTGGGGGTCCTTCCCATTCCTTTTCTAATGATTGTGTGCTGCTGGTGGTTTAAGGACCAAATTTCCTGTCCAGCCAGTGATCAAGTGGTAAAGCAGGAAGCAGAGTGTGCTTCCTCAGGAAAGGAAATACATACAGGCAGAGCCATCAGTTTGTAGATGGAAATGGAACTTACTTCACCCTTAGCATACGAGCTGTGAGGGAAGCCCCAGCAAATCTGAAATGCCAAGTGTTTACAGAGACCCCACTGTTGTACTTGTTGTGCTGTCACATGCAGCATTCTGACAATAGTTAGGTTAGTTAGGAAAAAAGGGTTAGAAAAAATTCGCTGGTGTTAAACCTATGAAAAGCTGGGACAGTTGAACATCATCTCTTCAGGGTTCCATGAGATTGAGAAAATCAGCCCTTGTCAGGTTTGCTTTGAAGCCTCAAGATGTTCTGAGCTCAGTGGAGCATCCTTACAAACAGAGCTTGAGCTAATGCAGAATCTTGCAGATATGATATATATTATAATACCAGACACATAATATTACTTAGTTGGAAGGAAATTGCAGAAAGTTGGTTATTGAGACTGCAGACCATCACGCATTCAGAAACAAAACAAAATTTGACTCCAAATGACAACATGGTCAGCATGCCATTGAATGTCAGACAGTCTGCTTGGAAAGGGCACCTCTTTCATCAAAGTTTAATGCAGGGAAAGCAACTGGTTCTTGCATTCTGATATGGCAGAGGCAGAAGTGGCTGTGCAAAAATAGGAAATATGTACAGAATTGGTTTTCTGAAGGAAAAACCTTCCAAGCAGTGTAGAATATTTGTAGAAGGAGTGCACAGTGAGCTTGTTTAGTTAATCTCTGACTCCACCTGAGAAATGAATGGTGCTCTCTTGTTCTTACTGTACAGAGGGAGTTTTATTACTGATTTCAGTGATTAAAAAAAAAGGTCTTGTTTGAGCAACTGGAGTGAATAAGCAATTCCCTGAATGGCTGTACCTTGGCCAATCCTTTAAACAATTCTCCTCAGGAAAGATGTTTCTTCTCCTCTGGCTATCCCAAATCTAATTTTTCAGTTCCACTCCCTTCATAGCCTTTCCTGGATTTCAGCAGTCTCCAAGCACAGGGAAATAAGGAGGGTGAATACTGAAAGCTTAGAAGCCATTGGACAGAGTTGAATTCAATTAAATTTCTACTAAGAAATGTTCTTTCTTACAGTACTAGACATTAGGATTCCCCACACTCTGTAGAAAAGTGAGGTTAATAAGGAAGGGAAGGGCGCAAATAGGATTTTTAAACTCTGACAAAATAACAAATGCAAAGAAGAGTGTAAAGGCAGAACTTCATGGCATGACATTGAGACACAGCTGACACGTAATTTCTGCCTGCTGCTTAGATGTCTGGAATATTTCAAACAAAGGGATGTCACCACTAATTCTGGGGAGAGAAAAGGCATCAAGTTAAAGAAAAAATCCAACTGTGAAAATTCACAAGAAGTGGATGTAAAGCAGCACAGGCTTGATACAGCCAAGAAGATGAATGCTCAGAAAACTCAGGTCTGTTTTTCAAGGGGCTGATCTCTAGATCTGGATTTTTTTATATACAGGCAATCTTGTGCATGAACACGTGTGCACAGCACTTGCTTTGCCTCTAGCAGTGCTTTATACAAGAACTTTCCAAACAGAGAAACTAGACACAGGAGGAGAAAACACCTTGCCCAAGCTTGTCCAAGAAAAGCTTGACAGCTGAAAAACGAACGTGCATTTCCTCATTTCTCTGTCTGCCTCATGCCTCATTTCTGTAGATCTTTGCTCGGTTGGCATCTGTAAATCTCTCTAGTTATCACTGTGCCACATTTGACCTCACATTAGTCAGCACATATATTAATCATCTTTTATTTGTAAACAGATTCCTTAAAATAGCCATACATAATATCATCCAAGGAACAAATCAGTTCATTATCCTTGCTGGTGCACTGGCCTGGCACTGCTCTTGTGGGCTGCAGGTGCCTGGCAGCACTTGGCACTGCTGCCAGCCCTGGTCCTGGAGGGCTTGTGCCTTCCAGACTGCAGGGAGGAGCCTGGCTTTGTAGTAGGTAGGTGTTATCTAACATTGAGAATCAGCTCAACAGTCCTATCCTGCTGTCCTGCCAGTATTCCCACATACAGCACAGTGGGAAGAGTTTGTACTTCAGGGACTGCAGTTGCCTTCCAGTATTCCCAGTGCTTTGGACAAGCACCACAGGACAAAGCTTGCAGGCAGCAACAGGCAGAAGAGGCAGCTCTGGAGAGCAAGGAATTCTGCCCGATCTCTGTTGAGTAAACTTGACCAAAAGTAAGGAGGGAATATATTTATGTGAAATGTGAAATACCTGTCCTAAGTTACAGTCACCTGATGAAATGCTTTCCTGGCCCACACTGTAAAGTTCAGTGGCTCTGTAAAATTTCTCAAAGTTGCTCACTCTCCTGTAGCCGAAGGTAAATGTACAGGCGTGGAAACTGGCCACACAGTGCCCAAGCTGTAAGAAACCTTTCAGGATTTATTTTTTTTAATTTTAACACTTGTGCAAGGTTGCAGACGGTGTTGAGTGTGATACCCTGCCGTTCCCTGGAACGCAGACAGCACTCAAGGCTGTGGCAGGCAGGGGAAGGACGGGATGCTCCAGCATCAGCAGCAGGTTGCTGCCCTGCCTGCCTCACACAGGTTATGTAATGCTGCTCAGCCACACACCCTCCACTTCTCCAATACAGGACATTTTGGGAATCCCCTTTTTTTTCAGTCTCAGTGTCCAGCCTTACTCAGCTGTTTTGCATACATGGTCTGGAGTATAAAATGCTTTTGCCTCCCAGGAGGGATACAGAGCCTGAGAGATTAAAGTCAAGAAACTTTGACAGAGAAGAGCCTCTCCTGGCAGCCTGGTAACACCTCCCAGAGCCCGGTAAGAATCACTGGGGCTAGTTGTTCATTCTGTCATTCATTTACCGCAGCTCACAGGTAAAGTAATTATATAACAAACTGTATCTTTCTTTCTTTATTAGGAACAAAGTGTTGCGCTCAATCTCCTGCTCTATTCCAAGCTGTCTAGCTGCTCTGAAAACTTTGTCCCTCCTTTCTGCTGATTTAAAGGTTTGTGCATATAACAGGTAACACTTTCAATGTTATCCACAGAACCCCGTGCTGCAGAACACAAAGCAGGTTCTTACTCTGAGGCAGTGAAGGGAAATGTGAGTCTGCTCTCTTTCTTCTTTTCTCTTTTTTTCCCTATTATTATTTTTCCTCTTTTACTCTTTTTCTTATTTTTTCCCTTTTCCTCCTTTTTCTCTTTGTGTATTGTATTTATGTTTGTTTGGGGTTTTTCTTCTTTTTTCCTCTTTCTGTTTCTTTTTCTAACCTTTCTTTGTTACTTTCTTTCTCTCCTCTCTTTCTCTCTTTCTTTCTTCATTACTGTGTGATGTGTGGATGACACAGCAACATTTCACATCCCTCTTCTAAGCTTGTGGTCTGCTCAGACATCAATGTTTGCTGCTTTACATGACTGGGGGACACTTGAAATTCTCTTGCCAGTATTTTAGATTAATATAGGGTTGCAGCATTACACTGACAAAGCAGTGATAGTTTGGGTATCCCTACTCTGAGTGTCAAGCAACTGTCATTTAAAAACAGGATGTTAGTTAGGTCAGATCAGTTAGTCTGGGGAGTTTCTAAGTGATGTTAAAGGGAGTTACCCTCTTGGGTAAAAACTGACCTTGTTGGGTTTTCTCTGTCCTCAGAAGTGTTCCCATAACACACAAAACAAGGTTTCAGCACTGTGAACTAAGACCACAAGTAAGGCATAAAAAATGCTGTGCCCCTGGCAGTTTGTGTTCAAATCTCGTGCTGCCAAGAGCCACTACTCTGGAGAGAAGGATTTCAATAACAACGTGGAGAAAAATAGGAAGATCCGTGGGTAAGATCCTTGTCCTTTAATAGTTTCATAGTTTATTTTTTATTTGAAAAGGGAAGATATTAAGTAGTTTGAGTTCTGAAGAAACCTGTAATGTGTTTCCAAAACACCAATATTAACAAAAGAATATTGTCCCTGGGGGTCCCTGGGTGGTGTTACTTGGTAATGGACATTAAACTCTTGTGTTTAAGTTATACAGTCATTGAGGATAGAAATCATTTTGCTTTCTCTTTCATAGTTCTAAATTTATTTGGTATTATAATGGTTTCATGTATTATCAGGAGGCATTTGTGTGCTATAAAAATAGCAGAGTGATTATTTATGCTGTAATTAAGTTGGTAGAGTATTTCTGTGATGCAGTTCATACAAGGTACTGTATAAAATAAATTACAGATGCAATTAAATTTCTCAGTCTTCGGGCTGTTAGTTATTTCAGGTTTCCTATGTGTTGTCTTCCTTCCCACACAGTGCTCTGGGAAGGGTGATACTCTGGCTTTACCACTGACTCCTCATCCACTGCTCCCCTCCCTGCTCGGCTTATGGGCTCAGTACAACCTTCAGAGACAGTGCTGAGCATCTCCCTGCTGATGCTGAGGGCAAAACTAACAACCAAGCATGTTGCCTTGTACTCAATTTTCTTTCTCCCTTTTAAAGCTTAGGGAAGGATGATGGCAAATTATATGATCCGAGCAAGAAGCAGAACAAGGTGGTGCCCATCGTGACTTCGGCAAAGGCCAGGGAGGAGGGAGAGGTGTGTTCCCAGCATCTTTGATAATAACAAAGTGGTGCTTGCTGCCCAAAGCTTCTCCAAATTCTCTGTGAGGGCTGACTGTGGGTGCAGGAGGTTAGGGCTGCTGGGAGATCTTTGGGTGAAAGTTCTTTTCTGACCTAAAGGGAGCCTTCGTAAGACTTAAGGGAAGAGGTGAGCCTGTGGGGATTGGGATGGCTGATTCCTTTATTCACCTTTGCACACCCAACCTTTAGTAACAAACCTGTCCTGTCTCTAAAATTGTCTGGTGCACTGTTTTCCTGATACTGCAACTGGTATGTTCAGAGGCAAGGCCTTATTGAAATTATAAAGAAGTTTGCAGTGGCAATACTGTTTGATTAGTACAAAAATACTTTTTCCTCCTGTTTCCTGTCAAACTGTTGATTAACTCAATAGTTTCATAGTGAAATAAATACTCATGTTGGAGCAGATCACATTTATATCAAGTTTCTTGAATTTATCTGTAGCCTTTTAATGGTCAAATAAACTTTAAAATGAAACTTCAAGATGTTTAATAGGCCTGAAGACAGTATGCATTTTTATCTTTTCTCTCTCCAGAACCTCCCTCAAAATGATATCAAAGTTTCAGACCAAATATCAAGATGTCCAAGACATGTAAGAGTAAGAAACTTGGAAAATGGATCCAGCTTTCTTGACACACTACACCTGACAGCAAAGGAGGTGAACTACAGAAATCTGAATGGGGATTTTTCAGCACTTTGTAAAAATACAGATTGCAACATTGGGTTTTGACATTTTATTTTTTTTCAGGTTCTCAACTGCCGGACCAAAGCCTGCCAAGGGTCACTCATGACCCCAAAGGGCCAGGTGAGAGGTACCAGAGATGGGCCAGTTCCACTGGAAGATCTTTTGCCTCAGGCAATAGACTTTCTCAAGCAGTACTACAGTTCATTTAAAGAGTAAGCCAGCTTACCTTTATTTTTGGTATAATAATGTCCTCTCCCTACCTGTGTGTCTGTGAGACTCGAGGAGGTTCCTGTTACATAGCATGCATTTAAAAATTACATAAGGACTTTTAGAAAAGCCAAATAAAGCTATCCCTGCACTGCATATGCTCTGTGTGCCAGTCCAGGGTCTCAGGAACACAGGAATGGACACTGTACCATGCATTCCTCAGCCCCATCCCTTTGGGGTGTGCTACATCCCAGCACACTGAGGACTGTCTTACAGGGTGTTACCTTCTGTTTTCTTGGCAGGGGTTGGGATTAGCTCCACTCAGCTCAGTGTGAGACGTGAATAATGTGGATAATGTGTTTTGTTTTTGCTGTTCCAAGTGCCTTTTCTCTGTGTTCCTCTCAAGGCTTTAGCCAAATATTGGAAGGCCAGTCTTGCTTCTCAACCTTGCTCTGTGCTATCAGCATGAGCTCACTGAGCATGCCAAGAGGGTGCTCAAGAGGTTCTCACAAAAATGGTCATGGTGCAGAGGCATCTTCTTGCAAGAAATGCTGGAACAGCTGGTTGAGGTCCAAGAGTTTGCAGTGACATTTCACCTGATGAGCTTTCAAGCAAGAATTCAGTGTTTGCTCATCCCATTAGAAAACATTTCAAATTTTCAAAGGGACTCAGCCAAATAGTGGCCACTTCTTTAGACACTTTGAACTCTTCTACAAAGCTTTCTTCCCTCTGAATCTTTCTGAAAGTCCCTGTCTTACACACAGGCTGTACTTGCCACATCTCTGTGTCTCTGCTCATGGCTGTTTGATCACATTGATTTACACTATCTTACATGCTTGCCCTTGATCTTTCATCTTGCTGAAAATGTGAAAACTCTCAGACAGTGCAGGCTATTTTCATTCTGTCTGTAAGCCCACAAAACAATTTTTGTCTGTACTGTTATAGATATTTTCTAATGTTTTGACTTCACTCTCTGTTATCAAGCTAAAGAATTTTAGAGTTGGTTTCCCTGACAAAGGAATTGCTCAGCACTTCCTCTTAGGAATGAAAATCCTCAGAAGAATTGTGTCCTTGTGACAATAACGGAACTTTGAGAGGACAGTCACTGTCATCCTGCCTTTGGCACGAAGTTCACCTGTTCTCTGGTTTTAGTTTGCTTGTGATTTGACTTTTTTTTTTTTTCCTAAATTAAACTACAAAATCCAAATTTAAACTGAAAACCTTCACAGAAAAGCCTGTGAAAAATTCATGCATGTGTTGGGTGGTGAAAGGATGGTGTCACTACTTAAATTTCTAGTGTGTTAGTTTCTTCAGGAGGCCAGTAAACTCTGTCATTCACACTCCATAGGGACAGAAGCCCTAAAATGCTAAAGCCAGAAACAATTCTCCTCTGCAGTTCTCACTCAGAGCCCTGTGGACTTAACTCATATCATTATCTAGAATACCCCCTGCCTTTTGGTCAGACTGTCAGCCCCCAGACAGCTGCACTAGGGGACAGCTGTGCGTGGGGACAAGAGTGGGGTGCAGTGGAGGGAGCTGGGGGACAGTGACAGTGCCTTCTCCACCTGAAGCACAGTGAAAATGCTGCCTGTGTGAGGCAGTGGAGGTTTGCATAAAGGGTAGAGTCATTTATGTCTACATGCAGTGAGTGTAGATTTACAACAACAACAGGTTTCTCAGTGTTTATTCAAATTTCTCCTACGCCAGCCTACCCAGATGCTAATGCCCCCCTGGAGATTTACTCCCTTGCATTCAGGCAGGTAACAACAGTGCTGTCAGTGGAAGTCTTCTCATGCAGAAGGATGCTCAGAAGCTTCATGGCTGCAGCAATGTCTGGGATGTTCTTGACCCTGAACAAAAGAGAATGTCTGCACTTTGGATCAGTTCTAAGTCATGAAATTCTCATTGTTTCTTTTCCTGTTCAAAAGGTCAAAAATGGAAGAATACCCGGGCCGACTGGAAACAGTGACCAGGGAGATAGAAACTACAGGAACCTACCATCTGACAAAGGATGAGCTGACCTTTGCTGCCAAACAGGCCTGGAGGAATGCACCCAGGTGCATTGGGAGAATCCAGTGGTCCAATCTACAGGTAAGCTAAGGATCCAGAGTTATGGGCCAGATAGTTCTGCTGGGAATTGGAAGAATGTCCTTTACTTTGGTAGAACGTGCCATTGCTCCAACTGAGGAGGACTCCCTGCTATTCATATCAGAAGATTGTTTTTTGTAGTTCTCAGTTCCATAATGGAATGAAACCGTGTGGGAGGGCGAGTGCAGGAACCGGTGTGTCATGGAACCAGGTGCATGTTTTGGTCCTTGGAGGATTGTTATGTGTGAAAATGATGCATATAAAGGCTACAAAAATGAACCTTTCCTAATGAAGCTACAATCTTTCCTTTCCTTAAATGCATAGGAAAAATAACAAGCTTTCATTCCTGTTTCAAAGTAAGTTTTCTTCTTTACATTTCTGTTGGAAACATGCAGGTGTTTGATGCACGGGACTGTAAAACAGCACGGGAAATGTTTGAGCATATCTGTCGTCATATTCAGTATGCCACAAACAATGGGAATATAAGGTAGGTCTCTTTAATTTTAATTTTAAACAACAAAAATCACATCCAGATTTGGCATCAAAAATACCTGAATGGTTTATCTAAATATTTTGGCAACTTGTTTCTGCTTTTCATTCTCCTGGTATATCTATATGTTCCTCTCATGTGACCCATCAGCCATTTTGAAATTTTTAACTTTCATAGTCGATGTTGCAAAACCTTTTGAAATTCCTGGGGAAAAGAGATGATTTGAAGATTCAGGGAGGTGGGTAGAGAGGATGAATGACTCTATTTCTACTGATGTTTATTTTAGAAATATAAAATATTTTCTGTTGGTGGCACCATATGCCTCAGTAATGAGAAGGTGTGGTGTGCGGGGTGGTGTAAGGCTGTGGCTGTGTCTCCGTGCAGATCTGCCATCACGCTGTTCCCGCCGAGGACGGACGGGAGGCACGATTTCCGCGTGTGGAACAGCCAGCTGATCCGCTACGCCGGTTACACCCTGCCAGACGGCTCTGTCCTCGGAGACCCCGCCAATGCCGAGTTCACCCAGGTACAGCCAGCCCAGCGCCTGCTGCTCCCCGCCGGGATAACCCATTCCCGGGGGAGTTCCGTGCATGTCGAGGCAGAGCGGTGGGGAGGGGAGGAGTGAGTGGGATGTTCTGCCCCACAGGTTCTAGGCGCAGCTGGAGCAGTCATTTCTTACAGTCCTGATATAAAATACTGTCCTCCATCTCAGAACAGGGTGAACTAATACTGCCCGTCAGGGGACACCAACCAGTACTTCAACAGCATGTCTCCACGTTGTTTGAATGGGAAAGATAACCTTTAGTGCTTACAGTTTACATCAGCAGGTTTTAGAGGGTTCAAATTCTTCTGTCTTAAATCAGGAGGGGGAAACCTGAAAGAAACACAAAATGTACTCTCTGCACTTACAGCTGTGCATCGAGCTTGGGTGGAAGCCGAAATATGGCCGCTTTGATGTACTTCCACTTGTCCTCCAAGCAAACGGCCAAGACCCAGAAATATTTGAATTACCTCCAGAAATTGTCCTTGAAGTGCCAATGGAGCATCCAAAGTAAGCATGCAAGATTTAGATAATTGCATTCTTGCCTCTGCCTCACCTTGGCAGGTTATTGGGCTGCGCCTGTGGCATTTTATGAGTTCTTTGTTGGGATGAAATGTTGGTAAATTGTCCTGAAAGGTAAAATGCCTGTTAGAACAATGAAATGGGTTTCAAATTAAGGAAGCCAATAGCAGTTTTATTGGAAATCTTTTTTTTTCCCAATCTACATTTTAATCATATTCAGAATTTAAAAGATCATCATTTCTTATGCCAGTGTAATACACAAGTAAAATATAGCTTCACTCATAACAAAGTGTTTGTTGCTTTTCTCTCGCTGGATTTTAACTCTTGTTTGCTTTGGACTGGCCTGCAGATTGCAGAACTCTGTAATATGGTTCTGCACTTTCTGTAGCAGGCAATTCTCAGTTACTGCGCTGAAAACTGCTGTGAGCTTCCACAGACCCTGCTCCATGGGTCATTCCTCCTAGAATTGGCACTCTTTATCTTCATGGGCTTTTCTGGTTGTTGCCTTAAGGAGGAAAAGACATAGCAAAATGAATCAAAGTGGTTGTTTGGCAGGTATGAATGGTTTAAGGACCTGGATCTGAGGTGGTATGCACTGCCTGCTGTGTCCAACATGCTGCTGGAGGTGGGGGGCCTGGAGTTCACCGCGTGTCCTTTCAACGGCTGGTACATGGGGACAGAGATAGGAGTGCGAGACTTCTGTGACGTGCAGCGGTACAACATCCTGAAGGTAACCTGCTCGGGGGAAGGGGCTTGGTCTGCAGGGGGAATGAACTTGTTTTAAAAAAGAGACACTGTCAGTGTTTGTGGGGATGGGAGAGATGCACTCCCTTTACAAAACCGCAATAGCCTCAGGAATCAGAACTCCAAAATCCGACTTTAATCTCAGGTGTTTCTGCTGCCATCAGTTTCCTAGCATGAGACTGACTCTTCCCCCTTCTGCACTAATTTTTCCTGCATATTAGGGTGATGAGGTAGAGAAATCATGGGTTCTAAGTTCCATGTAGTAAATTTGGTTTTCCCTATTCTCCCCCTTTTTCACACATAGGAGGTAGGGAGGAGAATGGGGCTGGAAACAAACAAACTGTCGTCGTTATGGAAGGACCGAGCTGTTGTAGAGATCAATGTGGCTGTGCTTCATAGCTTCCAGGTGAGTGAACAAGAGTGGGAGAGACACTGAACACTGACTAAAAGTGAATCAGAGGCTTTACAGCATGCACTTCCAGTATGGGAGAAGGAAAATGCTGATGTTAAAGAAAAGATCTAAGAGTCCTTAATCAAAGGCCTGTGCCGCAATCTCTATCTATACAGTAGTTGCTGATAGTGTTTATTTCCCTGCACTGAGTAAAGTCCTTGAAGTATCGACCAAAGCAAGAGGATTACGTTAAATACATCAGGTAGAGGAGCAGAATAGGTTTTTTAATGAATGTTTTTCTTTTTGCAATTGTTGTAGAAACAGAATGTAACTATCATGGATCACCACTCCGCCTCCGAGTCCTTCATGAAGTACATGCAGAGCGAGTACCGCGCGCGTGGCGGCTGCCCGGCCGACTGGGTGTGGATCGTGCCTCCCATATCGGGCAGCATAACGTCTGTGTTCCACCAGGAGATGCTGAACTATGTCCTCACCCCCTTCTATTACTACCAGGTACACATCATCAAAACCAAAACCCAAATCTAGCAGATGAGCTCAGCAGCCAGATGCAATCTGGGACCTGAAGGAGTCAGGGTGACAAGGCCTGGGTAATTCAAGTTCACTGGAGAGATTCAGAAACAGCAGACAGGAGCTGTTATCTGTGAAAGGTGATGTTAGTTCTGCTGAATTCTCTGGCTTTAAGTGCAGTTTAATGCTACAGAGATTGATCCTATATTTGTACTCAGTGGAGTACAAATGTGGATTGTACTCAGTGGATTGTATATACAGATTCTATTTGATCTGGCCTTTCAAAGATATACAAATTTGTGTACAAATTGTTGAAGCTTAAGTTGGTTTCTTTTTAAAGGTGGATGCATGGAAAACACATGTGTGGCATGATGAGACCCGGAGGCCGAAGAAAAAAGAAATAAAGTTTAGCATGCTGGCAAAGTAAGTTGCTGAAAAAAGACTTCTCATGCTTTGTCCAGCTATTCTATTCTTGTGGTGTTTCTGTTCTACTTTTAAAAAAAAATACATTATTACAGTAGGGACCACCTGAGTTGTTTTAATCATAGCCTTACCTGTCCACACATTCATATCTAAGGTGTCTAGAGTGTGCTGCTTCTGCAACATCTTCCCAGGAAAAGCCTTGCTCAAGATCAGTGTTTCCTAGCTTGTTTGTGAATCAATTATTATATATGGTTCTGTTTCCCCAGGGTTGCACTCTTTGCATCTTCACTCATGCAACAAGCCATGGCCACCAGGGCCAAGGTCACTGTAATCTTTGCAACAGAGACGGGGAAATCAGAAACACTCGCCAACAACCTGTGCAGCCTCTTCAACTGTGCCTTCAACACTAGGGTAAGCAATGCAAATCATCCACACTACATGGAGGAAGAAGTTTTGAATGTTCAGTAAATATAAGTTGGAGCAGAACTTTGATTTTGTATTCATCTAGCATAATGTCATGTCAGTTTGGTCAGTGTCCATCTGGCACCAGAGGTATCTAAGGCTAGTTCTTATGTCTGCTAACAATGTCTCATGAGCTTTATTCTTTCCAGATTCTGTGCATGGATGAGTACAATATTTGTGACCTGGAAAAAGAAACACTTCTTTTAGTGGTTACAAGCACTTTTGGGAATGGAGATTCTCCAGGTAACGGAAAGGTAATGCTCCAGAAGTATGTATGAGACTCAGCTCAAAGACTGCCACCAAAGACAGCCCTTTCGTTTGTCTCATGTCCTTGAGTAGGATATGAAGCAGGGTTGCACTTCTGTTTTAAATCAGGGTATTTTCCTAACCTTAAGTTACGATTTTTTATGCAGACCTTGAAGAACTCCTTGTTCACACTGAAACTGCTGAGAAAAAAAATTAGGTAAAAAATGCTTTGTTGTTTGGTTTGCATGTTATTGAGTCCTTTTGCATTTCACGTAGCTTAACACAGCAACCCTGTTTTTATTTCCTTGTGCAGGTATGCTGTGTTTGGTTTGGGGTCCAGCATGTATCCAGAGTTCTGTGCCTTTGCTCATGCCATTGACCAAAAACTGGCCCAGCTTGGGGCTTCCCAGCTCACTCCAGTCGGTGAAGGGGATGAACTCAACGGGCAAGAAGAAGCCTTTCGCACCTGGGCAGTCAGTGCTTTCAAGGTGAATTTAGAAAGACAGCTCATATTTTAGTTCATTCATTCATTTTAGTTCAGTATTCACTAGTTTCCCATAAAAATGAGGGAAAATGTAGGAAACCAAACATCTGGATTTATACATGAGTTTGGAACTCCCCTCTTCTCTACTGCTTGCCTACGTTGGAGAGGGAACCAAGTCCCTTTTCTGTTATTTTTTAACATTCACATAAAGTTGCATGAACCCTTTTGGGTAATGGAATAGTCAGTATGAACAAGGGTGGTAGCGTCAAACATGAGAATTTTTTGCAGTAGAACTTTTTTTTAACTGTACTGGCATAGAAGTGGAATGTTATTGAACTCACTGGCCCCCGCTAACATTACTGAACTCAACAGCAATAGGAAATAGTAATCTGTGAATCTGATAGCTCCTCCTTAGCATATGACAATGCTAACATCATTTTTTTTACTGTGAATAGCCTCATTTTTTGTGATTTTTTTTTCCTAGGCTGCCTGTGACATTTTTAACATCCGTGGAGGACACAGTATTCAGCTGCCTGAGATCTACACCTCTGAGGAAAGCTGGGATCCTACCAGTTACAGGATAGTGTGTGACTCTCAGCCCATGGACCTGGCTAAAGGTATTGCTCCCACCTTCCCCTCCCTCTGCTGCTTCAGGTGGGGCTGAACTGTGAAGATTTGTCAAAAGTGCTCTTGGCCCTGCTAGATGGTCAAATGCATATAATGAGGTGTAGTGGTCAGAGAAAAAAAGACACTGGTTTACATTGCATAAATGATCTTTTCCTGCACAGTAAATAACATCCCCAGAGGAACAAAAGCTGAGATGAACTGCTTTTAGTCAGGGACTGGAGCACACAGAACTGACTGATCATCAGTCATGTTCTAGGGCCAGCAAGGTCCAGTTCTTCTCTGCATGTTATTTGAAGACATTTTAAACAAACCTAACCACAGAGTTACCATGAGTCATGTCCTCTTTTTTCACCAGCTCTTGCAAGCATTCATGGCAAGGATATAATTCCAATGAAGCTGAAATTCAGGCAGAATCTTCAAAGTTTAAAGTCCAGGTATGATACCTCATTCTTTTGAATGTTACTACTAAAATCTTAAACATCTAAAAGGCCTGGTTATAAACATCTTCTCCCTGCAGTTATTAAGACATATACAGGAATTTTGTACTGTCCTTAGTAGAAGTATGTGAGCTGTTCAGTCTGCAGTGGGGCTGCACTTCCACTGGCTGATTCCAGGCATGTTTATTGAGTACTGGACAGATCAGGCAGCACTTCAGCACCTGATGTGTTTGGATACAAGTCCTTCATGTATCTGGACTCTGATTTGTTTAAGTCTCTGTGAAGCCCTAAGCTGGTCTGGTATTTGGTGATGACCACGAGGAGCCCTTGCCAGCTGCCACTGCAGGTTTATTCCTTTGCTGCACAGTTTGAGGGAAATCCTGTCAACATAACCAAGATCTGTCTCATCTCTTTCTTCTCTCTCCAGTCGTGTTACCATTCTGGTTAAACTCTCCTGTGAGACTGATCAGGAAGTGCACTATCTGCCTGGAGAACACATCGGGATTTTCCCAGGCAACCAGCCAGAACTAGTCCATGGCATTATTGCACGTGTCCACGATGCCCCTCCAGCTGATCAGACTATCAGGCTTGAAACCTGCACTGATGGTAAGCTGGTTTTCTTTAGATAAAATAACAGAGGATGTTGGACAGATTTCTTTTAAATAACTAAGAATTTTTATCAACAGAATTTGATTCTATGGTTCTTTTCTTAAGTTTCAATAGCATTTTGTTGCTACTTTTTAGTTATTCTTATAATTCTTGATTCTGACTTTGCACACTCTGGCAGTCCACGGTGACTTCACCAGGGTTTGCAGAGGTACCCAAGGTGACACTGTTTGTAATTAGTCATTGACTGCAAATAAATTAATCAACAGTTTGCTTATTGTTGCTACATATCAGAATCCTAAAATAGACTTACATGTCCTGACCATCTCTCCCATCTCAGTAGGAACAGTCTGCTAAACCATGGGATTCTGGCACACAGAAAGATGGTTTCCTCAAATTAAAGATTTACAGTTTCCAAGTGGTGTTTTGTTGTTGTGCAGATCTCTGTGTCAGATCGTCCCCTTACAAAATGTGTGAAATCTCACATTAACCTCTTTCAGAAGGGTCCTGTGGTCTAGACCTGCTGCACCCTCCCTGAAGGCATATTTTGAAAGACACTGAGTTTTGCAGAGCTCTACAGCTGTCAAATACCGTGGGCATTGCCAAGTGGCCTTTTATTTCCCTCATTTCCAGGTGGCTACTGGACCAGTGACAAGAAGATTCCAGCCTGCACGCTCCCTGAGGCTTTGACATACTTGCTTGATATCACTACTCCACCCTCCCAACAACTGCTAAAGAAACTCTCCCAGCTGGTGACAGCAGAAGGAGATAAGCAGAGGCTGGAAGTGTTGTGTCAGGTAAGCCTTGTGGCTGGAGTTCTGTTTGCAGGACTTTATACCAGGCCCTCTGATGCCTTTTGACTGTGTAGCAGAAGCTTAAGAATATTTTGTAAGGAGGGTGTTGGGTTTTTATGCCTCTGTTACATGTTCTGTGTTCTCGGAAAGCCAACCACAGTGAGAGAAAGGGTGGTCTGGAGGCTCAGCTTGGGCGTGGGAATCAGGAGGGTTCAGATCTGGTGTTTCCTGGGTGGGTCTGGGCGGGTCACTGCCTGCCTGCTCTCTCGCCTCGTGATGGTCGATACTTTTGTCAGAGAATTTGGTACTGTGAGAGCAGGAGGGATGTGGTTTTAACTACCAAAGACTCAGAGATGTGGTAAGTGCTGGCTCCTCCCTCTGGGCTCAGCAAAGCTCTGTAGGGATCGGGACCTGGGCCTACACAGTTTTGTGGATGTCTCATAACAGGGAGCTGAGAAACAGATTCTGCTTCAGTTTCTGCATCCTCCCTGAGAGACCTGGTGTCTGAGAGCTTTGTGGTGGGGATTCTGTACTTCTGTTTTCAAAAATTAACAATTTCTTAGGAAGCCCCAGTATTAGTCTTGGGAAAGTTTTGAGAACTCTCTGTTGACTTGCCTGCATATTTAATTGAATGTAAAGCAGGAATCTTGTTTATAAGGGACATTTCAAATATCCCTGATCTCCTGAACTCAGCATGACCTCCTAACATTGTGGTGATGCCCTTTGGCTTTTAGAGCACAGAAGAATACAATAAATGGAAGTTTTACAACAGCCCAAACATCCTGGAGGTCCTGGAGGAGTTTCCCTCTGCTGAAGTCTCCACAGCTTTCTTGCTGACTCAGCTTCCATTTCTGAAGCCCAGGTACTATTCTGTCAGCTCCTCCTGTGACATGACAGCCAGAGAGATTCATCTGACAGTTGCAGTTGTAAACTACAGGACAAGAGGTAATGAACTGTTGTTTGCATTTCTCTCTTAATTAAATGATATTTTAGGCTGCATTGTGGTTCATAAAAGTCCTGTGTCTGCTGTATGGCATGAAGCATATCTGTAACAAAAAATGTGTATTGTGATACTTGCAGAATAGTACACTGCAGTGCAGGTGTTCATACTGGGCCAGGATTTGCTAAAATCCTGCACCATCATCAGTGCATCCTTGGTTTATAAATCATTACTAGACATACACTTATTTAAAAAACGTAATTTTAAGTATAAATTGCTTTTTTAAAAACTGAGAGCTTTTGAGTGCTGACAGAGATGTTCTCTCTTGCTCTGCTCAGATGGAGAAGGGCCTTTGCACCATGGAGTCTGCAGCAGGTGGCTGAACACAATAGCTCTTGATGAAACAGTTCTGTGCTTCATACGCAGGTGAGCGAGGGAGTGCAGGACAGGGTAAAACCTCAATTAACCCCCCCAAAAAACAGCAGTTCTTAGTTCAGCTTCTTCAGTGGGCTTTTTTCTTTGCATATTTTCAAGTGACTAGTGAGTACAAGCTGGAATAGCTGGGTCTGAGAAGAGAGGGGATCCCCTGTCTTCCAGAGACGAGATCCTTTACCATGTCTTATTTTGAGTAAAATCATGAATCATTAGAAAGTTCTGAAATAGTTGTATTCATATGACCCCCATCTTCACTGTCAGCTTATCCACTGCAGAGCACAGAAAGCCAAGGGAACAAGGAGCACCCAGCACCCTGTGCAGCCACTACTGCCTTCAAACTGGAGCCTCTGTGCTGCTCAGACTCAGTCAGGAAACTGCCACTGAGAGTCTGTCAGAAACAATTACCCAGTTAATGTACTTTTACATTTTAGTGCTAATGAATTCCATCTCCCAGAGGAGCCAGCCAAGCCCTGCCTTCTGATCGGCTCAGGCACAGGGATTGCTCCCTTCAGGAGTTTCTGGCTGCAGCGTCTCTACGATCTGGAGCACAGAGGTACTGGGGGGGGCTGCCGTGGGGGGGCCCAGCACAGCTGGCAGCAGGGACATTCCCAGTCCTTCAGACAAGGGCTCTGCAGCCAGACACCCCCAAATGTCAACCAAGGAACTGCTGCAGGGACTTGTCACCCCCAGGATGACTGGGCACTGCACTGGCACAGCTAATCCATCCCACTGGAGACCATCCTGGTGCTCCTGAGGGGTTTGGGGCCTCGGAGGGTGCAGCCTGTGTCTTTCTAAGTCCTGTGTGTCAGTGGCTGCCCCAGGTGCTCAGACAAACACTTTCCCCTGTTGGCTTCAGGGATCAAAGGAGGTGACATGACATTACTGTTCGGCTGCCGGCAGCCAGACCTGGACCACATCTACAGAGAAGAAACTGAGGAAATGAAGAGGAAGGGAGTCCTGAAAGAGGTCTACACAGCTTACTCCAGACTGCCTGGCCAACCTAAAGTAAGGCTGATTCCTTCGTTCCTTAAGGGTTGGCTCCTTCCAGAGTCACCCCTCAAGTTAAGGTCTGGACTCTGCTTAACAATGTTCTTAAAAAATTTTAGTATTTTGTTTCAGTGTATCGTGAGCAGGTGACAAAAGGCCTCATTCCTTCAAAGGAAGGGGAATCTCACTGTGCACTCCAGCACAAGCAATCTACATAAATAACAACCTCTCACTGCACTTCCAATGCAAACAACCTTTGAAACTAGAAACTGGAACTTTTTCAGAAACCTGAGATTTTGCAAGATTTGTTAGTCTGTTAGTTAACAATCAGTTGGCTCTTGGCCATTTGTCCCCATTTCAATGACACAGTGACCAAGAAATTAATTTTATATAGAAGAAATCTTGTTTGAACAAAACAACAGCACTCGAGCTATCCTCTTTTTAGCTCTCCTGGAAAGTTAGGAGACTTTGCCAGATACAGGAGTCTTACTCTACTCCAGATTAATCAAGAAACAGGCCCAGCTTCCCAGTCAGGGGCTTGTAAAGGCAGGATGAAGACATCTTTATTCTCTGCTGTGGTGCAGCACGGCCCTGGGGCACTTAGAGCCTTCGTGCACAGACCCACCCTGAGCTTAGAAGACCCAAGGAGCACTTAAGAAACCTTGTCTGACGGTGGTTTCTCTGTTTCCCAGGTGTACGTTCAGGACATCCTGCAGGGGCAGCTGGAGGCGCAGGTGTGTGAGCTGCTGCAGGGGCAGGGGCACGTGTACGTCTGCGGGGACGTGCGCATGGCGCGGGACGTGGCGCGGGCGCTCCGCGCGCTCATCGCCAGGGCCCTGCAGCTCACCGAGCAGCAGGCAGACGAGTACTTCTTCCAGCTCAAGGTATGCTCTGACACGCAGGGTGTTCTCTCCACTCAGTGCTCAGGGTGGGTGACAGAAGCAAACCACAGTGCCACGAGCTGCTTTGCAGCCGAATGCACAGGAACAAAGGCTTAGCCCCCCACTGTGACTGCAGTTGCAGTTTCTCTTGGTCAGGGTGTGACTGACTCATGCTGCTCTTCTCTTGCACCTGCTCTCTTCCCTGGTGTCTCCCTGTCCATCCTGGAGATCAGCTTTGCAGTGTCAGGAACATCAGGAGTTTGAGATAATTGTAGCAACAGGCACATGGTGGGATTGTTGGGTCTGTGCAGGGCCAGGGGTGGGACTGGTGATCCTGAGGGTCCCTTCCAACTCAGCATATTCTATGGTTCTATGAGGAGAGGAGAGTGGGGTTAGGAATTCAGTGGGCCCATCACTGAGAGCACAGTGCCTGGAGCAGCTGCTTTTTAGGACACTCTTGTTACCAGAACTCAGCCTGGAGCACGTGTGCCTGGGGTTCAGAGAGGTCCCTGTCACTGACAGTTACAAAACTCTACCATCACAAAATGTGTCCTACACGTGCAAAAGGCCTTTTAGTTACTGAACTGATACCTAAGGAGGAGCTGGCAGGACTTAATTCATCTCTTGGGTGTGCTTTCTTCTTTTTGCAGAGCCAAAAACGATACCATGAAGATATATTTGGGGCTGTGTTCCCACATGAAGTCAAAAGAGCTTTACAACCCACCAGTTAAGGAACAAATCCACTTCTGTTTTAGACAATGCTTGCACATTTGTTGTTACTTTCAGAGAACATGGGTTAAATCCTTTTTCATGTTCAATAGTGCACATATATAGGATTGTGGGATTCAACTCTTAAACCTCAGCCTTAATTAAGAAAAACACTAAATTTAACTTTTGTCACTATTTATTCTGACACTCTATTAATAGATTATCTTAATAATGAAAATACAAATTAGTTTTTAATATTGCCTATGCTAGTATAAATCTGGTACTTTTTGTAAATAAAACGAAAATGTAGAGTTTTGTACTATGCTAACTAGAGCTGAAATCTTTTTTTGGAATGTACTGTTTATCTTTGTGACTTTATTTATGTCAGATTGGTTTCCTTGCACATTGTCTTCACTTGGAAGCAAGTGAAGGATGGTTGTGTTACTGGCAGTTGTCTGGCCACAGGCCTTGCTGGATCTGGAGCAACATTTGCAAATGGGAGAATGATGTGCTGGTCCCCACGTGGAAACACCTGCTGCATCTGCTTCAGATGTACCCGTGGAGCAGGCAGTAGTGTTGAATTGTGCCTTGTGTGATTCAGGTACATGAACCTGAGTTGTTGTTACAGAGCCTGTGGCAGGAAGGTTCTGAAGATTCCAAAGCACTTCCTTACATTTGAATCCTGTGCTCTGGTTTACTTGATTTGTTTGTAATAAAAGTTGCCTTTATACCAAGACAAGCAAGTTGGTGTGAATCAATATGTACCTCTTCTTGCTCTTGGCTTCAGCCTGAACAGGCAGAGGTAGCTAAGTCAGCTCTCAGGGTCTGCTAAGGTGGGTTTGGGCTCCAGTCAACTCTTCTCCATGAGGAAAGGGCCTGTCCCCAGGGGTTATACACTCTGCCTAAGATCAGTTTTGCATTTTTGTTACTGCCAGAGAGTGTGAGACTGGCCTGCAAACTGCCCTTCTTGTAGGTGGGACCTGGGCTCTTTCTAGGCCTTGCACTTATGTCAGAGCTTCTGCTTCCTGCTCTAAAGTTACCAGGGCTATCTGATCATATTAAAAAAGCTTAAGGTGACATTTTCCTATCATCCCTCATGTCCAGGAACTGGAATCTGATGAAGGCAGAGTTGAGCCTCAAAGTCAGCAGTGCCATGTGTGTACAGTGTTTTTCACATGTGCTTCAGGACAGCCTATCCGTGGGATCCCAGGCATAGCACAAATGAGAGGACATGGACAGTGATGGCAGAGAGCAGGAGATGGCAGAGAACAGCAACAGAGTAAGGACAGAGGAGGTTCCTGGCAGGTAGGGAGCCCTGATGGGCACTGAGTGCACACACTCCATCAGTGTCATCTCATACTAGAACTGATGTGTTCTGGGTTTAGGTTTGTGGGGTGGGATGGAAATGGCACAGGGTAATTGCAGTTTACTGAGGCTCATAAGGAGAGCTGAGGGCTGATGGGGCACAGCTGAGGGCTGATGGGGCACAGCTGAGGGCTGATGGGGCACACCTGAGGGCTGTGGGACAGAGCCTGGCAGAAAATGACTGGTGCTGGGATAAGGTGCAAGGCCAGTGAGCTCTGGGACCCAGGAGGCAGAATGAGGTCAGGTAAGTGAAAGGCTTTTTCTTTCTGTTAGTGTTTTTTTTCCTGGCAATGCTGTGTTATATTGTCCCTGTGCAAAGGAGTTCTGCTCTGGGTGGGTGGGAGTCTCCCCTGCCCCAGGTGCCCTGCTGGGAGCCAGGGCTGGGCTGAGAGGAGAGGGCTGGAGCTGCTGCCTTGGGCGGGAGGAGCAGACTGACCTCTGAGGAGAAGCTGGGATGTGTTGTGTCCAGCTTTCCTGGACTCTGCTCCATCGGTTTGTTTGTAGCCTGAGCTGTGCTTTGAGGGTTGTTACTTGGTGCCTCCTGTTCATGTTCCTGGTTCGGGGGCTCTGGAGTGGAGGGGCCTCGCTCTGTGGGTGCCTGGGACAGCCTGGGGCAGTTCTGGGGTACAGCCATGGGCTGGTAAACATCAAACTGCTCCGGGTCCCAGCTGGGGCACAACCTTCATGCTCGAGCATGGGAGTTTGTGTGTTTTGATGTTTTAAATCCAATACCTCTGCCCTTCAAGTTTAGTTGAGAACTAAAATCACTATTTCTTTATGAAAGACAACAAAGCTCAACTTAAATCTTAAGCTTTTTATTGCTTGCATATGGGAGATGTAGATAAGATGGATGACATGTAAAGCAGTGCTTTTATGATGGCTGGGCCATTCCCAGCAGGACAGCACAATGCCATCGTTATTCCCACACAAAGCCTTTGGCAGCAGCAGAGCGTTCAGGGACTAATTAACACCCGGCAATGGCACTTCCAGTGCAGAGCAGGGTCTGGTTGGCAGAGCTTTGCCCGCTCTGCAGGTGGGAAGGTGGGGGCAGGACCTTGTGCAAAGGAGGGGAAGGTGCTGGGGGTCCCAGAACGGCCTCGAGTGTGTGAGGGGCAGCTGCTCAAATAGTTCAGTGCTTCAGGAAAACCAAATGGCAGCTTCATTAACCATTGAATAATGTGGCTCATCATATCTGGAAGGGAAAACTTTGAAAACTGCAAATGGACTCAGCAGCTCTTACAGTGGCCTGGGCCTGGCAGGGAGGGCTGGAGCCCAGCCTGGGCACTGCTCTGCCCTCGCTGTCTGAGGTGGTTTGTCCCAGGAATCCCAGTTAGAGCACAAAGGGAGGGAACGCCGGAGCTCCAGCAAAGCTGGGGCAGCTGTTTGGGGGCTGGGGCCGCTGGCATTTGTGACAGCAAACACAAACAGGCAGGAGCTGGTGTCACCATGGAGGGAGGAGGTGACCACCAGCCCATGGGATGGGGAGGGGGCAAGGTTCCAAGGCCACAAATTCCTGAGTCAATCCAGCAGAAGCTGCCAGGCACAGCAAGGGCTACTCTAATCTTACTTTTTTCTTGTATGACCTAAACCCCAGACTTCTGCCCCCCTTCTCTTCAGCATGTCCTTCCAAGGGCTTCTCTGTGCAATAGGATTTCTGGAGCCAGGCCCTCTGCCCCGAGAGCTGCTGATCCTGCCCCAGTCCAGAGCAGGGTTTGAACACCTGCTCTCCTCCCTGCCATTCCCCTCTCCGGGTCTGCTGAGCTCGGCAGGGCAGGGGGGCTTTGAGGCAGCTTCTGTGGTCCTGGGGGTCTGTGCCCCACGGAGGGGCTGAGCTCCAGGGCTGTCCTCACCGAGAGGGTCCTGCTCTGCTCAGTCAGTCTCCCTGAGGCTGACCCGTCTGATCCCTATTGCCCAGTGTCTCCTGCTGTCTCCTGGGCTCTCTGGGGTGCCAAAGGGGATGGGAAATGCTGGGAATCCCCTTCTGCTGCAGGGCAGGAGCAGAGGGTGAAGGAGCTCAGTGGGGACAGCTCCGGTGACCTCCCTGCACGGTGTCGGGAGTCACTGTGGGGATCTGCTCCTCTTCTATTTCAGCTGCGAGTAGATGGGCAGGGAAAGGTCAAACCACGACTCAGTAATGCTCGCTTTATCCAGAGCAAAGATTTATTCACTGAAAAGATTCCTACATATCCAGAATTCCAGTAGCATAGAGTGCACTCTTGGGGGTTTTTTTCCTTTTTTTTTTTTTTTTCTTTTTTTTGCTGGTTGCATAAACTAATACAGAAACTGTTGTTAATCCTAACAATTTGTAATTAATTTAATAGCAATTCTGGAAGACACTCAGTTCATAGAAAATATAAAAAAAAATTTGTACTGTACAAAGTTTACATCACATTTGAAAAGAAAACGTGTCCATGTTCACCATGTTACAGACCATTTACATGCACTACCGACGTGTGGCTCCTGTAGCAGCATCGTCACACGGACAGCTCCAACGGGACAGGACAGGACGTGTGACAGGAACACAACCCAGGGACTGGGAGATGGCAGAGCCCGAGCCCCCCAAGCCTTGTGGTGGCTCAGCCAATGCCACTGATTGAAACAACCCCCGAGACAGGAACAGCTCTCTCCTCTGGGCTGCACTGGGACCAGAGGCTGGGCTTTGTGTTTAAGGGCAATTTGTGGGTGTTCCACACACCACCCAGGTCAGGTCAGATTAGAATCCCAAGTTCTGTTCAAGGCAGGTTTTGAACAGCCCCCCGTGCCCAGGACTGCAGGGCACGTTCCCAGCTGGGGGGACACGTCCCAGTGTCCCACACACTGACCTGGGGCACAGAGGGGCAGGAAGGGTCCAGGGAGGACAAATGGTGACAGTCTGTTGGGTTTTTTAATTTGTTTCAATCTGGCTGCACACCCAGGGCTGGCTGTGCTTCCCCAGTCCGGCCTCTGAGACAAAACCTGAGCACACACCGAGCTCCAGCTGGGCCACTGGTCCCACTGGAACATCCCAGGTGTCCCGGGGACACGGACTGAGCCCAGGGCTGCAAAGGGACAGGCTGCAGGAAGCCCAGGGTGGGTTCCAGCCAGAGGCAGCACTCCTCTCCCTGCTTTGGGTTTGTGCTGTGCTGCTGTTATTTAAGCAGCACTTGTGGGAAAACAACTTCTGCTTAAAGCTGCTGACACAATTACCGAGAGACAAACAGCGAGTCCTGCAGAGCCCGAGGGTGCAGGGGGAACTGCTGTGCCAGGAGGGGGCTCATTTGCCTTTACCAGGGGAGAGGAAAGGGAGCACAGAGTACTGCCAGGCCACCCCTGGCCACGCCAAAGCCATTTTCTCTTTTATATCCAAGACACATTTCAAAAGTCTCTGTCAAAACACTTGGAAGAGGCTACAACTGACACATGGGAGTGAAGGTCTCTGCTCCACAGAACTCAGGTTTTGTGCCACTTGGCTCTCCACACGAGGCAGCTGAACTGAGGGCTGGCACTTTGTCTGCCCACAGGATTTTAGAGCTCCCCTCCTCAAACCTCAGGTGAAAGCCTTGTGACGGTGGGGAAGGGGACCTGGGGGGTGTCATGAGCTGCTGCAGTTGGAGAAATGAAATCTGGTGAGTCCCAGGGAGCCCTAAGGACCTGTCTCAGCAAAACCAAAGCTGCACAGACAGGAAGGGTCTGAAGGGTTGTGGTGTACTGGGGTCCTCCCACAGAAGCTGAGGAACATGGATGGGAGGCACGAGGGAACCTCTGGTAAGAGACTGCAGTTAACTGGCAATGGGATGATGAATCCCTCAGCTTGATGTGGTCACTGGCTGCTGGCTCCACAACCCCCATACTGTGCACTGGATGGGGGATGATGATTTTTTGGTCTTAAAACAAACCTGCAGCTCTGGAAAATGTAATTTCTTCTACAACTGCAACAGTGATGGGGCTGGAAGAGTCGAGGCTGTTGGACAGTGTTATGTTTCCAGAAATGTCACAACTTTAGGGGACTGGAACATGTGCCTAAATTTCAAAAGAAGAATTTGCCCCCTGTGCAGAGCTGTGACATGTCACGGGTTTATTCTTAAAGGCCAGCAAGTCTCGATCCTCTGGGACTGTAGGAGAAGGAGCAGGTTTTAGTGTGAGTTCTGTGGAGAAGAGCACTTGGGTCATTAACTGAGACAGGCCCCCTGCAGCAGGACATCCGAGCTGGGGGAGCTGAATTCAGGGTGACCCAGAGCTGGAGCAGCCCTGCTGAACCAGACCTCGGGCTCAGTGACTGCTTTGGGCAGTACCAGGGCAGCAGGCTGGGCTCTCCCTTCCCGAAGGAAACCCTCCCTCTGCAGGCCAGTGCCTCGCAGGAGCTGTCCCACTGCTCAGGGAACCCAGAGCTCTGCAGGCAGAGCGTGGCTCCCACTGACCACAGACACAAGGAGGAACCAGGAACTGTTCTTCTCTCTTTCTCAGTGCTGTTTGAGAATGGCTGTAGTTAAACTTGATTCACTGTTTTTATTATGTTTAAAAAAATATAGTTCACACAAAAGTATCATGTAAACATTGCTTAAATAACTGCTGGTGCTCAGGCAGGACATGGAGCTGAGCTGATGGTCTTCAGAGGGGCTGCACCAGCCTCGGCAGGTGGAGCACTGAGGGTTTCTGGTGCCGTGTGGGAGCAGGCAGAAACACGGTCCCAAGGACACCGCGCTACAGCTTTGGGTTACTCGGCTCCAGGATTCCCAAGCCAAACCTTTCAAAACGCAGGACAACTTTGCTACTGTTAATGCTGCAGAGAGTGGGGAGGGAGAGGAGAAGGGAGGGGGGAAAGTGTTACTGATAATTCTTCTTAAAGCTACAGCCCTATCGCAGGAGCTGAAATAGGTTCGGTTCTGCTCTCGTACCACCCAAAAGAGGCTCAAGTAATTAAGCAGCAAACACATGAAGTTATTCATGTGAACCCCATCAGTGGGAAGAAACACACAGACAATCTGATTTGCTCAAGCAGGAGGAACAGGGGGTTTTCCCAGGTACCTACAGTGGGGGGAAGCCCGACATTGGTTTTCAGGGAACACTTGGTTCCGTTGAAGTAGAAGGGAAGCAAAAACCGACAGAATTCTCTTTGTAAGAGAAAGGGGGTTTCTGACAAGGTACATGAATAGGTTAAAGAAAGCCCAACAGAACAAACCCAAACCCCTTTGCTCCTCTACAGAGGTGCATCAAGGTGTCTCTCCCCTTGCTCTTATGCTGTTGACAGAGAAGTCCTTTCAGCACTTTCAGCTCAGAGCCCTCCTTACGCACGGGTGGAGGTGGAGCACGGCCTGAGCACGCAGGAGACTCAGGAGTGGATGTGGGTGTTTGTCCTCAGACAGCAGAAACCCCGCTGGCCCTTAGTGCATGTTCTCCTCTGCCCCTGTCCTGTCCCCTCCAAAGCAGTGAGAAAAGACCTTTTCTGAAAGGCACGTGTTTGCTGTGGTACCTGTGAGTCTGCCGAGCCCCCACGCTGAGCCGTTCTGCTGACCAGGGGATGTAAACAGAAGCAAACCATAACATTCCAAGCACTACCTCTGCGAGGGGAGGAGGAGCTGAAGGGCTTTCCTCCTCTTTTACACAGCTTTGTAGCTGATCCCAGCTGGCCCACACGGGCCTGTTCTGGACTCTGCCCATGGCCTGTTCCCGGTGGGTTAAGGATGGTCAGCTGCTCCAAGTGGAGCAAGGACTTCTTTCCACTCAAGAACTGGCCCTGGCTGCAGTGCTGCCCCCTGGCCCTCAGCTCCTGCTGGTTTGCAAGTGGAGGTTCAGTCCTGGCTGTGCCACGACAACGTCCCTGTCACCTTCAGCCACAGAGCTCCAGCACTGAGGACACCCAGCAGCACAGCAGGGTGAGGCCAGCCCTGACCTGCCGGGCAGGACACCTGGCCCTGGCTGGCACGTGCACCTGGGCAGGCAGGGCAGGTCCCTGCACCGTCCCAGGGGAGTCCCAGGCTCCTGGAACGCTCCAGAGGGAGAGGAGGCAGCGGTGTTAGGCAGGAAGGTCTCGCAGACAGGAGTGGTTATTGAAGCAAACAGCCCACACCAAGCAAAGGCAGAAAGGAGAACTCGGATAAGGTGTTGATTATGTCCATGGGTTAATTTCGTGGTTTGTTTTTGCTTTTTTAATGGAAGGTGATTGTCCAAGTTGCTGGTTAGGATACGACACATGGAAGCATGCAAAGTGGAGCCTGTTATTGCACCAGTAGCTACAACCTACAAAGAAATATGGGAGGGAAGGGAAAAAGTCACCATGAGAGTTAGTTTTCAGTTATTTAAAGCTAGCCCTACATACTGCAAAGCTTTGAGCAGGCTGGAGCAGGGGTTAGTGCACTGTGTGAAAGGATCTGCCAGAGGGCAGGGACAGGTGTCTACAGGGCAGTTGGACTCTGAGCAGGGCTGTGGCTGCCAGAGCCTCCCCCAGGGACCTGGACAGACCCCAGTGTGCAGGGGATGAACAAGGGGCTGCCTGTGCCTTCACCTCACTGAGCACTCAGTCAGTGCTGGTAATTTCATTCTCCCCTGTTAAATGCTTTGAGCAGAGGAAAAGGAGCAAAGCAGGAATTGCCATAAATCACTTGGGTGGGGGGTGTCAGTCTGTCCACCCAGACAGAGAGAGCTGGGGCAGCCCCTTGTAAGGCACTGGTTCCACAAACTGACCAAGAACAGCTCCCTGTGGAAACACAAACCCCAAATCATCACCTGGCAAACTGCTCTGGAATTGAAAATTCTCATGGACTGACTGCCCAGAGGGGAAGTGTTTCTCCAAGTTCACTCCAGTGTGATGTCAGAGGACAGTGCAGGAGTGGGACTGAGGGGATGCCTGGTGCTCACTCTCCATGGGGGCTGGGCAGGAGGTGAAAAGGTGTCACATCAGTGCCCAGGGGTCTCACTGGATGGAGACACGAGAGCAGGACAGGGCTGACACAGCCAGAGTGCCAGGGCACAGGGGGGTTCTGTAGGAAGGAAAAATACCACCCAAGGCCACTGCTGTATCTGCAGATCTCTTGGCAAAAGAATTAGTGTTTTCATAACGTAACAGGGCTTAAACACAATGATCTCCCTCTGAGGCAATGGAGGATAGTTTAAAAAAATAGGAGGAAATTCCCAAGTGAAGCTGGATGCCTTGAAAGGATGGATAACAGAAAAGCAGACTCAAGGAACCTGGGTATGGACCTGGCCAGTGAAAGCTGTGCCTGGAAATAAGGTCTGGGATGCTTTAGGCCAGAAAGAAAATAGAATTGTTTCCTTAAATTATGTCCGAAGCACAGATAAGCAGCAGTTACCTGCTTGTCCATTTCTTAGCTCAGATTTTGTTGCTTTCTCCCTAAAGTTTTATTTTTAAAAACCTAGACAGTGGAACTCAGCAGGGCTGAAGCCCCCTTGGCTCCCAGGTCTGTCCCACAGCCCGTGGAACCACTGGCTGGGATGGCCACGACAGCTGCCCCGTGTCAGGGCTGTTGAGGGGTGCAAGGAGAGCCCAGAGTTCCACAGTGAGTGCTCTTTGTAGAGAGGTGAGGGCAGAGTCTCAGAGACGCACTCCAGTTTAAAGTTGTTGGACATCATGAAGTGTCAAGGATTCAGCACAAACAGTGGGGAAATTGTGCAAGAGAAGTGGCAAAATTTTCAACCAAAGCCCCAGACGACCCCACACCCACCAGAGCCTGAACTGCCACGACATCCCTGTGTCAAGAGTTCGGGTGGTTATGATCTGGTGTTACAGGAAGATTGTGAAGGGTTATGGGAAAGGAAGGGATGGGTTAACATCAGAAAAAGGAGAAAAAAGAGAAAATATGAGCACTTCAGGAGATGAAAATAAAACACTGAGCCAAGGACGTGGGGAATGGGCACTAAGTGGAAATGTGTCTGTGGCTTCACACTCAGCCAGTCTGAACCACTTCAGAGGGCAACGGTGGCACGTCCTTGGCTCCTTCCTTCCTCAGGCAGTACCTGCCATTACCACTACAGGGGAAATTCTGACCACTCTGGGGTCAGTGTGGGCCCCACCCCCCCAGCACAGCTGGATCAGTTTGGATCTGCTGGAGGGGGGTGAATATGGCAAAGCAGGCAATGAACTGACTGAGGTGGCTTAACTGCATCATTTCCCAGAAACAAAGCAGAAGAGCAGAGTGTTCCCCTCCTGTCTGGTCTGACAGTCCCCAAGAAGGCAAAGAAAGCTCAGACATGGTCACTGAACTGGAGTGGCATAACAGCAGCAGGTACTCACTCAGCAGACTTCCAGAAGTGCCCCGGGTGGGAGAGCCGGCGGTTGAGTTTTGGCAGCTTTTCCAGCATCTCCATGAGGACAGTGAAGCTGGGCCTCTCGCTCAGGTCGAAGGCCCAGCAGGCCGAGAGGATTTCCTGCAGAGGACATTTGTGGCTCATCACCCCCTGGCTCACAGGTCAGCTGTGCAGACCAGAAAGCTGAGCACTGGGATGTGTGTGAGCCCAGGCAGATCCTCACTTATCAACACAGGGCATGGACACCCTTACAATCCAACAGTTTCCCATTTCTGCACAACAGTTACAAGCAGAGGCTTGGCCTCTAACCTGCTCTGCCATTCTCATCTGTTCCCTTTCCTGCCCTTTACCTTTAGAGTTGTGAGTGAAATAAATCCCTTGGAGCAGCTCCCTCTCTTCCTGGGGGAGCCGTGTGGAAGGATCCCGCAGGGCGGTACTTACGTTGACTTCCTTGCCCAGGCTGACGGTGGCCAGGACCTGCCGCACCCCCTCTCCGCTGCCGATCTGCCAGATGAGCGCCTCAGCAGGCTGGGTCCGGAACGGCCACTCCCGAGCCTGCAGCTCGAACCACACCGTCCTGCAAGGCCAGCACACATCGAGCCTCTGCCTGCCCCAGGGGCAAATACCGAACCCCGGCACCGTTCCAGCTCCTCGGAAGGTGCACAGAGAACCCCTCCCACCCCTGACTGTTGTAGGACTGAGGGAAATGCATCCCAGCCGGGAGTCTGGGAGAAGGGGATCCCTCACTGGAAGGCTCAGGCCTGTAACAAATCGCACTTGGCAAGCTCTCGTGGTACTCTTGGGTGTTCCTTCCTTACCCAAAGGCATAGATATCTGCAGCTTTGGAGAAAGGCAGCTTGTCTTCATCTTTCCCTGGGGCCATCTCCCGGACGATCTCGGGGGCCAGGTAGCACAGCCAGTCATGAGGCAACTTCAGTTCGTTCTCCCTCCTGAGTCCAAAGAAAAGCAGCAGTACTGAAACTCTGGTGTGTAGGTCATAGCTGTGCTTCACCTCATGTTTTGACTTTAGTTACTCAAATGTTTTTGCTACTTGTTTCTCGTTTTCTTGCCATGTTAACAAATAAGCACATGTCAGCCTGACTCTCCAGCTTACTCCTGGGCTTACAGTTTTGTTTGTCCTGTGCTCTTAGTCTTAATCCATCCATAACACTCTGGCTCTGTGCTGCTAGAACTGTAGGAAGAAATCTGCTCAAAAAAAAACACCAAAGTGCAGAGTGCAGACTGAGTGTGTCCTAAAGCAACTGGGTACCAGGTACTGTGGGAAATGTTTCCCTATTTGATCATCATTTGTCATTCTAAAGGTGGACCAAGCAGTGAAATCTCCACTCACCTTCCTTCCTGAACCACGCCCGAAATTCCAAATAATCCAAAGTCGGTGATCACAACTTTCCCATTGTCATAGAAAACATTCTTGGATTTCAGATCCTTATGTACGATGCCCTTTGCGTGGAGATACCCCATGCCCTGGGAAATACAGCAGAGGTGGAAATGTTTGAGGGGTTGTTACTATTGCCAAGCACACTTTGCTTTCTAATACAAACTCCCTCTCACATCTGCAGTGTAGAGGACTAGCTGGGACAGGGCAGTTGTGCAGGACGGTGTTAAGGGAGCAGCTCCCAGCTCAGAGTGCAGCCTCCAAGCTCTGGATGAGGCACTGCCCCATGGCTCCATTGGCACAATGAGCCCTTACCTTAATGATCTCCTGTGCTATCTGCCTGGTTTTGTTAATGTCCAGGGATATCTTGGGGTCCCTCACAAAGGAGTGCAGTGTCCTTCCTTTGCAGAAGCTACAGAAAATTTTTGCACATTAAAAAAAAAAATTAATTAGCTATATAATACTTATATTTTAAAACTAATAGTAAGATGCTGTCCTCACCTGGTAATGATTGCTAAGTGAGGGGGGTTCATGCAGGCTCCCATGAACAGCACCACGTTCTCGTGCCGGGTCTGTCTGTAGTTCATCACTTCCTTTTTAAAGAGTTTGAGATGATCCTGGTTGTTCCCGTCGATCTCCAGCAGCCTGATGGCCACCTCCCCGTGCCACTTGCCCTTGTAGACCTTCCCCCAGCGGCCCTGGCCGATGGGGTCCCCCAGCTCGATCTGCTCGAAGGGGATGTCCCACTCCTGCAGGTACACGCTGGTCTGGCTGGGCTTGCGGTAAATCATCCCCTGCAGGTGCGGTCGCCGGTTCGGCAAATCTTCCACCTCGTCCTCGTCATCCTCAGGCTCTGATTTATTGGTCTCTGGTTCTTCCACCTGTTCACAGCAAGGCAAGGGAAAGGTGTGCTCAGAGTCCCACGTGGGGGGCAGAGCAGCCCAGCAGCACAGGCTGCTCCCAGACCTTCGGGGCCGACAGCAAACCCACCTGTGCCTCGCGTCCACCTCCGCCCGGGCCTGGCTGGGCACTGCTGCAAGAGAAGGTTTGCACTGAGAGTAACATTTGAAATCCACCTGAGGTGGAAAACTGGGGGGGGGATGCATTGCCATTAGGGGAGGGGGAAGAAGCCAGCAGAGAACAGATCCTGACAGAGTTACAGTAGGTCAGACAAAAATTCAATTCCTGCTCCACGTAACAGAGAAGGACTCTAAGCTCACTCTAGCAAACAAGGGACAAAGACTCTGAAGTGATTCTCAGTGATTAAGTGGCAGGAATTGATTTGGCAGTGGCTCTGTTATTACAGTGAGTTCCAGGAATGGATACTCCCATTCCTGCTCCTGAAAGCCCTGTGGAGGAGCAGCCCTGTGAGAGCTGGCAATGCAGGCTGCAAGCTTTTCCATGCCCTGCAGTTCAGATCCTGGAAGAGCTGTTTGCTTGCAGCTCAGTGGGCCTTGTCCTTGAGTTATAAAGCTCCAGCTTCTGTTCATCCCACCCTTCTGACCTGGGGATTGCACACAATAACCAGGTATTAAAGGCCTGGACTGCTGCGTGTCCCGTTCAGAGTTGTGCCATATTCAGCTTTATAAAATGGGGATCCCAGCACGGCCCTTGCTGGCTAAAGTTATCCTGGGAGTTCTCAGATGTTAAGTGCAGCTTTGGCCCTAACACAGCATTTCTGGACTGAGCTGAGGATTATCAGGTAAACACTGTGCAAACAAAGGGATTTAAAACTCTACTTACTTAGTGTCTGCAGCAGTTTCTGGAGGTTGTGCTGTTTGTGCAGGGCTGGGAATTTCTGTCAAAGTAGAAACAGTTATGCTACATCTTTTACACTTCAATCTCATAGACTGCAAGTTTTAACATTGCAATAGCAATTATTTGCTTCTTATTCAGGAATTATAAACTCAATCACAGACAAAAAGTGATTTTATACTTCTATTCCTTTAAAACTATGCTCATCCCTGCTACCCATGTTGGCCCAATCCTCTTTCCATTCCCTTACTGATCTGTAAAGTCTTTCTGGCCAGGGCACAGAACCCTAAAGTAAGTCTTTTTAAAGGAGGAACACGGATGTGGATAGAATCCCATAGCAGGAAGCTAATGTTGTACAGCTCTAAGTTTCATCTCAGTACATAAATCACATCAATGCTCTGGCTCAGGGGAGAGAAGCCCGAGTATACACTAAGAGAGAGTCTGAATTGGTTTAGACATGTTTTTTAAAAGCAGGATTATTGTTCTTTGGCAGCATGCAGAGGTTTACAAACAGGCTATGTTTTGGCAGAAGTTGGTTAGTAGAATTAAAACAATCAACTCACCTGGGAAGATAAACTGTTGTCTATGCTGAAGGTAGTAGGCAGCTTTTTAATTAATTGGGGTTTTGTAAAAGAACCACAAAAAAAAATACCAGGAGAAAAAAACAAAACAACACAAACAAGTTAGAGGATCATCAGTGAGTGCCCCAAGTGCATTCAATGAATTAGTCCCAGCTCACTGCTGGGAACAGATTAGTAGATTATCAGCCTGCTCGAGGGGGGATTTCAGCACATGCATTTGGGAAGCCCCTGAGAGATGACAGGTATCAAACACAAGCTGTTACCAGTCACAGAGTGGTGGGCAAACAGCACATTGAGACCCTCAGTGGCAGAAGCAAATGCAGAGCCCAGGAATGTCCAAGGCAGGCCCACATCAGGTTGTGCTGCAATGCTCTCTCATGTCAGCTTTGCAGAGGTGCCCCCACAGAAGCTGAAGCTCATGAGCCACCTGCGGTTTTTATTTTTATTTCAGTTTTTTAATTTCTGAGTAGTTTGTCCCAATACAAAGGAGCTGCAGTGGAATCCTTACACTAAACTGGTTCTGTTCCTGCTCCTTTTGAGCAGGCTCAAACAGCAACTGGCACTCCCAGTTCAGAACCTGATGCAAAATTCTGCAGTGTTGAAGGCCAGATGTAGCAGCTACTGAGCAGCATCTGACTTCAGTTCCACATCAGAGGAACTGCATTTATTCCCAGTATGTAAATCTTTGCCCTTGTCAGAAATTCTTGCCCCTCTCAGCTCTGGTAAAAGCTGCACACTGGGGCTCTTAATCCATAAGGTACATAGGGTAAACTCTTCTCCACCAGACATCTGTGTCAATGGTTTAACAATGGGTGTTGATTGGGGGTTATATTTTGGAACGGCCTGGTACTTCACTCCAGTTCTCATTTTTACAGCCTGCTCCTGCCATCACCCAACTCCTGATTTAAAGCCCCTGGTGAGCACACATTGCAGGCAGCATGCATTGTACAGCACAAGGGGAAAGGGAGGAGAAAGAATATGATATTTTTTTAGTCCTTTTCCAAAAAAGAGAAAAGAGAAAGATCAAATCATTTAAGAAAGGTGCCAGCATTCCTCAATGATCTGTTTCCTACAAAGGTCTTTTGCTGATACCCTTTAAAAACTTGTAAGAACAGACCATGTCCTTTTATCAGGTAACAAAATACACCTTCACACCTTGCTTAGGGCACAACCATGTACTCAGAAACCTACAACTCCCTGGTCAGCCTCTACTTGCAGAGAGGCCGTTCTGCTCCTGACAGGTCTCCTGAAGGAGAGGAGTTTACCTGGGAAGTTGAATCGCCCGTCCCTCTGGCCCATGGGAGATGGGTTTGGGGGAGGCGTTGCACTGGGAGGGTTGGAAGACTGGAAGGGTGCTGGGGAGGATGGAGTGGATGAGGTTGTAGAGGAAGGATTACTGCTGGAGTCCAGGTGGTTTATTGCTGGTGGATGCTCCTGCAAAGCAAGGAAAATCCCTCGTGAGAAAACAGTAAAAAGAAAGAACAAATTGCATCAGTGTTTGCTGGACAACAGAGAGAGGGAAGTTGTTCCCAGCCTTGATCATGGCACTGTTTTTCTGAGTAAGCACCTGCAGGTGTGCACAGCCCATGTTTTACATGGAGAAAATGTCACACAGCGAAGTCTCCTTGCAACGTGAAAGCTCAAGGTGCCATTTTGGCTCCAACCACCAAGATCCTGCTGTCACCACATACCTTTTTAGTTAGTGCTTTGGGGAGAGTTCCAAACTGTGGCTCTGTGGGTCTGTCTACTGGATTATTGATATCAGATGGGACAGATTCTGTTCTTCTTATTTTTGCTACTGAAAACAGGTTGAAGAAGGGAGAAAACCAGCTTAAATCAGAGTTCTTATTCTTGCTGTACCATGAATCACATTGACATGCCAAGAATTTGTAGAAAATTACTTACTGGGAAGGAAGGATATTCTACAAGCAGGTGCCTCTTTAGTACATTTGTTGTGACATTTTAATCTGAAAGAGAACCATTACATGTTAAATAAGGACTTGTTCTTTCCACAGAAGAGTAAGCCTACCCTTAATTTGTAATTCTTATGCTAATCTCAGAGGGAGTTCTGGAATGCCCAGGCCCCAAAGCAGCAGCATTCATATGGAGAATCCTATTATGTGTGTCATTAGCCTAATGAAGGCCATATACATATCTTAGCATCTGATTTATTTTTAATATAGTTACTTTCACTGACTCTCATCCAGCAACAGCAAAGCACTAAAATCTCAGTGCTCTGGACTAACAACCCAGAGAGAGAAGCAAAAATTAAAATCCTGGCTGTTATTTAGGGATCCAGCTCCCACTACAAGATTTGCCCAGGATGAGGTAGTAGGTGGTCTGTGGCAGGGAAATAAATTTGGTTCATTCACGTGTCAGGCTGACAACCTAAAGTGTGAGTTGTTCCAAAGCATCCCTTGGCTAGGTCAGGACTGAGAAATGGTGCCGCTGCCAAGAGTGCATCCCATCAAGAGACGTTCCTGCAGACTGCAGCGAATCAGATCCCAGGTGGTTGTTGTTGTGACCATCCCTGCGTGCTCACCTGCAGTACTTACACTTCACCCCGAACATCATGCTCTTCTGACAGACTTGGCAAATCTGAGACAGCCAGGACTTGGTAGAGAACCTGAGTAGAGACAAGGCGAGGAAACTGGTGTTAAGTGGCGCCCAAGGGAAATGAACATTCGTGGGTAGTCACAGGCTGGGCTGCAGCTCTTGCTGAAAGGGGCAGGTGGTGGTGGGTGCAGAGCCCTCCCTGGGCTGCTCAGAACCCAGCTCAGAGCGTGTCCCTGTGCTGCTCACCTGTGTGTCACCGCCAGGCCAAAGTCTCTTCGTACCGTCTGAGGGGATCCCTGGGAGAGCTCTGGTGGACAACAAAAGCACGGTTTAGGGGAGCATTGCTCACACCTGCTCACCAGTGTGCACAGAAACCAAATGGTCACTGCCACAGGTCAGCCCCACCGGCCCAGAGGTGTCAGCACCACAGCTCAGGCTTTGCTGCAGAGCTGCTGCAGCTGCTGCGCTTGCATTTGTGTCCATGTGATTTGATAAATCGTGATACTTCACATTTAGGGATGACAGAAGTCCATCTGATCAGGTCTAAGCCGTTCTTCAAGTGGAAAGACTTTATTCCTAACTGGTTTACTTCCAATTGGTTTACCACAAATACCATCAGCCAGTTTTCCTGCAGTGTCAGTAGATTTCAGAACCTTCTTTTTCACTGAAAATTACTTCAATTTTCTAGACAGGGCCAGGATGACCCAGAAGGTCAAAAATGTATATGTGAGCTCACTTAGTGAGCTGGTAAGTGCAGAAAGGGAGACTTAAGACTTCAAAAGGCCAATCCAGCACTCCAGTGGTTAGAGCACATAAGTTTCTGAAAACTCTCCAATACTCAGATTCTGGCTGAAAGAAATCTATATAAATACTCCAAATCTGGACTAAGCTCAAATCTGCAAGTGTCAGCATAGCCAGGGCTGTTGGTGCTTACACAGAGCCAGTCTCTCACTTGACCCTAGATGGCACCAGATTCTTTTTTATCATTAGTCCAGTGAATTTTTAAAGGTGTCTGTGGTCCTCAGCCTCCTGGGCTGCAGTGGCTAGCTGCTTTTGCAGGGAGTATTGCAGGTCTAGTGTGGCCATCCAAATGCACAACATCTAAATGCATCAAAACACAACAGTTAAGATGGCTGTTAACATGGGGTAAGATGGATAAATCCTTACTGAAGAGTTCTAATGAATACACACCAGTTTGGGATTGACTGGCACTCACCAGAGCCCACAGCAGAGATTTTAACCCAGCCAATGTGACTGTATGCAGAGAAGCACCAAAATCCTTCATTTCTGTCTGAATTTAAAGCTTTTTTCATTTATGGCACAAATTCTCTCACTCTCCACAGGGAAATGCTCAGATTCCTGCTGGCATTTTCATTTTATAATCTTCCTTCTATTTCTGAAAGTAATTCCTGGGATTTTTGCTTTAAGGGGCATTGGATATATGTGCAGTGCTATAATGTCCTTATTTAGACTTCTATACTTTTTTTTAATGCTTTGATGTTTCTGCACCCTTCCCAAGCTGCTCCAATCTCTCTCCATCAGGTTCCAAAGTCACAGGTTGTGTCTGGGACACACACACCTCAGGGTAGCTGAACTCCACTGGCACTGGTATGGCACTGGATAAAAACACAGCCCTGCTCCTCAGACAGTAACCATGTGAACAGACTCCTCAGCACCAGGGGAACATTCCACATTCCAGCACTTGCTGAAGCTTTCTCAGAAGGCTGCACATAACTGTCTAATTTCATTGCAGAAACACTGGGCAGTGAATATCCAAAAACACAAAATGGTTAGATATGAAATTTCTGGTACTGAAAGGCATCAGCACCAGCTGTCTGAGGTGCAGACAAGCACTTACACCCAAACCCCTCACTTTAACCCTTGAAACATCACTATTCCTTTTCCTTGCTGTTGTCATTTGTCATCTGAAGAAGTACCAGGTACAAACAAGTAAACCCCCTGCAGTTCTGCAGCAGGCCAAGCTCCTGCTCAGTTAAGAGAAGCTCTGGGATAGGAGGGCCTGTGGAGACCCTCCAGAGGCTGCACAGGGATGACCAACAGGGAGCTGACAAGCACAGGTTCTTCTCTCTCAGCAAGGCACTGCAGACACCCCCGTAAGAGTCTCTTACCGAACCTAGGAAGAAAAAGAGATTTTTTTTAGCCACCAGATTCCTGTGACGGGATTCACACTGTGCTAGAACAGGAACTGCTGCCTGCAGCATTTTCAAACACCTCTGGTTTTGCACAGGCTCCTGAAGCTGCTGCAGTGCCAGTACGTTCCTGACTACATATGGCAGTCTTTGCTGGGGAGAGCTCCAGCTCCAGTCTGGGAAAAGAACTTACTTTATTGGAGGAACTTCATCTATCCTGTTTCCCAGCTGTGATTCATGGGACTTGCTCCTCGTGAGGGTTGGGAAGTTGGGCAGCAGCTGGAACACCTTCCTGCAGGGGGGGGGAGGAGTCCGTGGTGGCTTCAGCTTGTGCCGCCGCCTGGCCTGGGGCGTGGCCGGGGGGGTGATGGTGATGCTGTGAGTCCTGGGGGTCAGCCTCCCGCCCTGGCTGGCCAGCACCAAGGGCTCCAGGAGGTTCTCTGCGTACACGGAGGGTCCGTGGCTCGCCGGGGGCTCTGAGGGAGGGGCTGTGGACACGGACACAGAGCGGGGCTGGGTGCGGGGTCCGGCTGCGGGGTCCGGCTGCGAGGAGCTGCTGTCCCGGCGCGCCTCGGGCAGGTTCACCAGCACGTCGTCCTTCAGCTCCCCTGTGCAGAGAGAGGGGCAGTGACTGGCACACGGGGAACACCTCCACACCTCCACACCTGCTGCCCTGGCTCGAAGGTGCCCCGTGCAGGGGATGTAGATCCCATGCATTTTTAAAAGTGCCCTTCCTTTCTAAGTGAATGCCATGACTTCTGAGCAATGGCTGGTTTGACACTGTGGATGGGAAATGTCTGACAGCCCGGGACAAGAAAGATTAGAAAAAAGGAAACACGAAACTGAGCTGTTTGCTGGCTTTTCCATTAACTAATCTTTATGACTTGCAAATGGATGAACTGTCATAATACCAGCAGGAAACATCACCTTTCAGTGACAGATTGATAATTGCTACAAAGAAAGATGTAATGCATGTTAGTACCAGTCTGCTGGGAGAGGCTCTTGTACAAACAGATTTTACAGTGCCTCTGGAAGTGCCTGGGGAAGGTGACAGAGCTTCTCTCTGAGCTGGCAATATGTGGGGAGGGGATCAGCTACAAGGAATCTGGCTGTATTTGTTAGGTCAAGGATGTGTATTGACCGATGGAGAATGAACTGCAGCATTAGACACAACTCTGAACGGAGAGGGAAAAAGGATATATTGAGTAGGAGAGGACATTTCCTCATACATTTAGTTCCATTTCTTTATTTGACTTTATGTCAAAACCAAATCCAGCTCACGTGTCTAGCTGTGTTTGATCAGTGCCCCTTCATGGACATGCAAGAGCCACAAACTGACAGTGGTTACAGAATATCCCACAGAGGGTGTACCATGGCTGCAGGGTTTGCAGATTCTCACATGCAAGGAAGCAGGATGGGGCTGGGGTGCCAAGACCCCAATTCCATGTGAGAACAAGACAGTCTGTACCTGATTCTGTCACCTTGCGCAGGCAGCTGAGTGCCCCGTTGAGCCTGGAGCACTCCTCATCTCTGGCACCACATCTCTTCATTGTTTCCTTCACCTTTGACTCGTTCATTTCTAGTAAGGCATCCAAGGTCAGCTCCTCTGGTATCCTCTGCAGAAAACAAGGTGAGACCTTTTTTCACTGTGTCTAAAGAGGACTGTCACCTGTTGTTCTGGTGTACTTTGAGCAGCCCTGTCTCACTGCCTGGTCTGACTCACCATCTGCTCATTTTGGTAGTGCCCCTCTCTGAACAGGCCCAGCAGTGCCCAAGAGCTGCTCCCTCCCCCTGCCCCGTGTGTGAGTGTGCTCTGCAGCACTGTCACTGGGCATTCTCTGCTGTTTAACTTAGGATTAGAGGTGACTGGAATATTCTTCTCCCCTACTGGAAAGCTTTCACTCGGTGCTTTTGCAAAGCTACCAATGAAACAACTTTTTCCTTAAAAATAGCAGCAGAAACAAAACAGGCCTAAAACCTGAAAAAATGTCAGATAAAGATGTTTGTTTTTTCCATAGTGAAGTGAAAAGCAGAAACAGTGAGGAAAATTACTTCTTTTCTTGAACACAAAAGAAATGTTTTGACAGAGATAGCAACCTCCTCCTCCTGCATTTTTCCTTCATCAGAGAACCAGCCTTACCCGTATCCTGCCTGGAGAGATATTTGAGCACAACTCCTACTACGTCTTAATACACCAAAGCCCCACAGTGATAAGGTTCAGATCAGGCAGACACAAAAGATACAAGAGCCTGGAAAGCACAAAACGATCTGGTATTTCCTGACACAGAACTGAGCTGTGTCTCTCTCTCTTCCCCCATTCAAATGTTTCCAGTGTAAGTCTGCAGCAATTGTGGTTAATAAACAAAACCAGGATATTTAGCCCAGATACCCAGGAATTTCCCTGAAAGTTCTGCCTAAACAAACCTCCCTGTTGCCTACTCTCACAATGAGATCACAAATTTCACAATATTTGGCCTCTTTCCTAAAGCTTCAGCTCCTGGACTCAAGCTATATAAAAGGGTTTGAACTTTTATTTGAAGGGGAAACTCAAAACTGTGTCTCACTGCCTGGAGAAACACAACGCCTGAAATCCTCTAGTCCTTAAACCTCACTTCTGACTCCAAAGCAAATGTGACTGTGCTGAATGTCCTTTAACAACTGCATCTTTCTTAATCCAGACTTGTGCTTTTGAGCTGACACAGGACTTTCAGCAGTGACAGTGCTGAACAGCCCCAACCTTTGGAGCTTTGTAGGTGGTAACAGAGAGTAATCACAGAGTTTCCATTTTTAGTAACTGTGGCACGGAGCAAAGAGAAAGAGTAAATTAAGAAAGGGTAGAAGTCTAAGAAACACATCCTGCATCTTCTGTCACATGGCCTGAGCCGGATGAAACACAAAACACAGCTGACTCAAGGAGAGCCCAGGAATTTAAATGAGCAGTAAGCACAAAGCAGGGCCAGAGTAGAGCCAGAGTTCAGTGACATTTGGATCGATTTTTTTCCATAATTAATCTTTGCAGAATAACAAAAGCACAGACATTCCAGCTGATGCTGGGTATTATTACTCATTTTTCTGCACACCTGCACCATCACGATGCAGGAGTAAGACTGCCCCCAAAAAGCCTATTCCCAAATGATTTCCACTGTCACAGTCTTGGTGTAAGTGGGATTACAGTGATGTGTAAGTTTTGAATTATCTTGAAATATTTCCTTACCCCCACCACTCCCCACTAAGAACACCCCCTTGGCTAGACAGCCCTTGTTCGAGGCAGCAGCCTCATCCCAGATCCAGCAGGAGCTCCCCAGTGCTGTTACCCAGGATCCCCTCACCTCCCAAGCCCTCCTGCCACACGTTTAAGCAGTAACTTATCAGAGCTGTCAGGGAGTCAGTCGGTACAGTGGAGAGACCAGCAGTTTCCTTGGCCACTGCCAGTGGCAGCTGGAATGCAGGGCCAGCTGGGGTGGCACTGGGGCAGCACCACTGGGGCAGCACCACTGGGGATCTGGTTTCTCCAATGCCTCTTCTGTGGCAGGAACCAGCCCTCAAGCTGCATCAAGGATTCAAGCCTTCCTCATTGCACTTGAAAACAATTTTTAAAGGACACACAAGTATTGAGCTCTTCAGAGTGGCAGGGAATTTTCCCTGTGTCCCATGCATTTCAGGACACAGTCTCTGAGGAGGGCTCCATCAGCCCTGAGCTGGCTGAGTGTGCTCTGCAGCTCAGTGTGTGTGGCCTGTGATGGTCCAACCGAGCAGCAAAGCCTGCCCAGCTCTGCACTCCCAGCACACAGACCCTGGCAGAGGGACCTGGGCCCACACGCAAACTCCAGTCTGCTCTTTTGCTCAATAGTTTAATTTTATAAAGACAGAATAGCAAGTTGTAGGAAAGTATAAAGTACAGAAAAGGAGATTATATTTAAACAATCCCAGTGACCTTGAGCTGGGAGAGCTCAGACTTTGTGAACCTGCTGCCAGCCCCCATGACACGCGACAAAAGAAATAAGCCTTCAACGAGGGGGAGGGAGGGAAGTAAGAGGCTTTCTTTAAACAGCCACTCATGTGCTGCACATATGTGGTGGCTTAATATAAAACTGGCCAACCTGATCCCTGTAAGATTGGCCTGCTCTGCTCTAGCTCTGTGCTAGCCCCCAGCCAGTGTGACAGTGAGGAAGGTCACTAGTTCAGGGGCTCTGGGAACAGGTTCTGCTGCTGCCCTGGCTCAGCTGTTGTGCTGGGGGGAGAATGGCCCCAGGAAAGGGCCCTCACAGGGGCCACTGTCAGAGGGGAGTGTGGTGGGCTCCAACCCCTCAGTGCAGTTCTGGTCCTTGCACAGGGGTTACCCCCACCCTTCAGCACCGAGGGTGAGAAATGTGGGTCCATCTGACCTCTCTTTACTTGCTTCTTCAGTGGGTGCTGAAGCTTCTAAAAAAAAAAAGCTTTAAAAAATGCAGATTAAAGGCTTGCACTAGGGCCAAGCTCAACACCACCTCCTTGGGCACACCTGCCTTGACAGAGGAAGCTGCAAAGTATTCAGACACTATTCTAATAATAAGGTCAGATTTAATTAGGAGAAAAAGAGCAGAAGACAGAACCTGCTTTCAATCTTCAGCACCTCAGTAAATCTAAAGCCTTACCATGGTAAGGCTTCTGCTCAGCAGAAGTGATGCTAAAAAGCCCAAACCAGGAAATCACTCCTCTCTACAAGAGGTAGATGGACTTTCCTATACAGCCCTCCCACTTCTCAGGCACAGACTGCGCTTCATGGGACACCTTTGAAGAGAGTGAAGTGAGTCCCACTGCATCCAAGGGCCATCCAAGGGTTAGTCTCAATTAGTCTGGGTGAAGAGTTCACACAAGTCTTTAATCTTGTCTGGTGTCCAACTTAAATCCCTGAAACATGGCAAAAATGCTGGTATCTAACACAGTGGAGGGGTTATTTTTGGTAAAGATTCCACCCTGCAGATAAGCCTGTGGAGCTAATGCTGCTGCAGGCACTCTGCAAATTCATCCTGACCTGCTCCTCGACCCAGTAGCCACAGCTCTTCCTGTAAAGCTGGACAGTTGTCAAGGCCCCAAATGCCTCCTCTTAAATCAATACATTCCCTCTCCAATCACCCTCCCGTGAAGCAGCAGATGCTGGAAGAGAAAGCCCATTACATAAGGTGCTTAAATTCCCACTGATAGCTCTAAGCAAAGCATGTAAAGATGCTCTTAAGAACATCTTGTGCCTGCTAGTTGTTATTTTGCTCTGGTTTTCTGGTGCCTGGAGAAGGAGATACTGAAAAATTGTTGCATTATTAAATTCCTGGAGATTTTATGGACATTCTGGAAAGCCTCTCACATGAAATTTCCAGCCTACATTAAGCTGTGAGCATAACCAGGCCATGCTTTCACCTGACATCACCCTCCTCCCTGGTTCCCCTCACAGCAGGCGGCTGAGAGGAGCTGCCAGGCTCGGAGCATTCCCTTCCCCTGGCTCTCTGGGACAGGATTGCTGCTGTCACTACTTTCTGTGGAAGGCAGAGGTAGCAGTCAGACCCCTTGGGTTGACCTCAGGCCATGAATGATTCACACTGAACAGGGGGGCACCTGCACCCCCGGCACGGGAAGGGAACCCTTGCAGTGGGAGAGAGTATTTTCCACGAGCTGTTTGCACTGGGGAGGGACCTTCAGCTGGAACACAGTGATGGAGTTTTAGCTCAAGGAAGCCTGCAGGACAGAGTTAATCTGCATATACACAATTAGCACATCCAGAATCTCTGCTATCTGGTGGTCCAGTCAGAGCTCCTGCTGCCAGACCCATGGAAATCCCCAGCAGAGCCACAGTCCTCGTGGCCTGTTCATGCAGATATGCTGACAGAAAGAGATGGGAGGATACAGCTGTGGAAACCTGATAGGCTTAGGCAGATCTGCCTCTTCTATCCCCATCCAAAGCAAGGATGCACACACCAAAAACCCTCAGCACTGCTCCGACAACCGATGTGCTTCAAGCTGGACCACACAAACAGCACCCTCTGCCACGGGCTTGTAGTACCAACCCCTGGCCATGGCTCATCCTCAACAGATTTTCCCAGGGGCAGCAGGAGACTCTTGGCAGACAATTCCTGCCCAAGGCATGAGCCCTTCCTGCTCTGCTCCCCCATGTGCCCAGCACTGCTCCTGCCCTGCTCAGCTCTGCACTGACAGGCAGGACTTTGGCATAAATGCTGAACGAGGAACGAGATGGGCCTCCCCCAGGAAAGTATCTACACAAATACATTCCCCAAATGGAACAGGCAGAAACCAGCCACAGCACTGCTGTGTCTGCTCCCACAGCCTCCTGTGCTGGCCGGCAGTTCCTGGTCAGGATGTGCCCCTCCCCATGCGTGACAGTCACCCACTCTAAAAACAGCCTGCCAGACTTGACTGACACCCACCCCTGCTCCACAGCCAGTGCAGCCGGTCCAGACATGCTTCAGAAGATGATAAGGAGATGACTCTGTTCTTAAGTTACTTTTTAAGGCAGTGACAAGTTACATGTGGGAACAAATACAGTAGTTACGTTTCTGGGAAGCACAATGTAAAGGCAGAGAGGATTGCTTTCTGTGCTGAAGAAAATAAGCCAACAGAGACTTTTTTAACCTCCTCTTTTGATAGACATATCCCAAGCCCAGAACCCAGTAAATAGCTCTGCAAGAAACCTCTTCCATCAGCTTAAGAACAGTGCTCTGTTCTCATCTCCTTCCCTCCTGCTCGCCCCTCAATTCCCGACTCCAGCTCCCAAGGGGAACAGGACAATCCAGATCAGTGTATTTTTGTAGGACCATTTTCAGAGCAACTTTCATCCCCTTGAGACCACTAAATAGTGCAAACATACCTTCTGTCTGTAAGGTTCCTTGTCCTATCTTCTCTAGATCTCAGTTTAAGTACCTCCTTGCCTGGTTTCAATCCACCATATTTAACCATTTTCAATATTAAACCACACACAAACAGTGCTAATCAATCTCTAGAGCTCCTAGCCAAAAACAAGGACTCCATCATTTCCTAAAAAAAAAAATCCCTGAAAAGCAGGTCAGAGCACAGCATTACCCAGCTCCGAAGCAGAGCCCGCTCCACACCAGCCACCATTTTCTATGATAAAAATCTGTCTGGCAACCGATTAGAGGAACAACAACAAAGCAACAGAAATAGCGCAGGTTGGGGTGGGGGTTCAGAGCTTCCTCACCCCTCAGAACTGTGCGCACAGAGAGCAAACAGGATCCCAAATTCCAGGCTGGTGTTCCCCACCTACCTGCAGGCCGGCCAGGTGGGCGCAGCCCAGCCCTCTGACGGCGCGCAGCGTGACCGGCTCGCTGCTGTCCATGCTCTCCGCAGCCTTAGCTGTTGCCCAACGCCACAAACAGTGCATTGTTATTACTGTAATCTCTTCTAGAACTAAAGGATTTTACAAGCAGTCATTATTCTTGTTTTAAATATAGGTTTTCAAAGAAATAAAGGAGCCTAACAACACGACAGCAATTGTAACTGCCAGAGCTTTCGAGCGCTCGAGCTTCACGATGTCTAGAGCAAGTCACCGAGCAAAAATAGTCCTCACTCTGGAGTGGAGGAGTCAGCAGATATTCTAAATTGGAGCTGGTGCTCTATTTCTGACAGGAGAGCCTGGGAGCTTCTGTGCTTCCCTGCATGGCAGCTTTATTTGGGAGAGGACTGGGGGGGGCGAGCGGAGGGGAGGGGAGAGAGAGAAACAGAGCATTGTTTCTCTCACCGCTGAGCCAAAGAACTCTTGCAATTAGGCTGCTTTTCAAAGGTGTTATGTCACAGATTAGCACAATCTTCAAAATACTCCTCCCAGCAACACCAGAAATGCAAAGGGAATCAGAATCCTTTAAAAAAGCAAAAAGCCTCATGAACTCAGGCCTTTTTCCTGATCTGTCCCTGACAAACAGAGGGCCTGGAGAGCCCTCCACCTGCACCTCCTCCTGTGCTGTACCTGCTGTTCTGTTCAGCTCTCAGGGCAGCCTCCGGTGCAGCTATTCTGAGACTCTACAGGTACTTGGCAACTCCTCCAACAAGCTGCAGAACCTAAAAGACCCAAGAAGACAGGGCTGTGTGCCTACATAAATACACTATGACAACACTTGTGGGGTTTTCCTTCCCTCTGGAGCACTTTTTGGAGGCCTTAAGAAAGAAAACCCAGTATGGCTATTTCCATTTTCCAGTGAGCTGAGAGTCTCTTAGAGCTAGGAAGCTGTTCCCAGTGTACCCTGTACACAGAACAGGCAGAGACTCGAGGGGCTCCATTTGCACTGTGTGAGCTGCTCAGCCACCTCTGTAACGTCTACCCCACCACCTCTCCCCCCAGTCCTGCCACAGGCTGTGCACAAAGCAGGAAACCATTCCAGAGTATGTAATAACTAATCTATTAAAGCTCCTGCTGTCAGTGATTTCCATTTTGAAAGCTTTCGGCTGAAATGCAGTTCAACATGCTCTATGAAATCTAAGCAACAGCAGGAATGATCCCCGATACCTGTGACATTTCTGAAAGGAAACTCATCCCAGACAGCTCATGCACTGTGCTGATGTCAGTGTCAAACACCAACAGTGCTGCATTGCTATTTTCTGGGCAGTGCAGTAACGGAACCAAAAAAAAGCCCTGCAAGAACAGAGCACTCAGTTTATTAGCCCAGCTATTTCCACTTCTCCCAGCTCAGCCTGTTCCAGCACGGCTACCCAGACATTATTTTAATGACCCATCAGGTACTGCAGTTCTCCTGTCCAGCTAATACAGATGCTACAGAAGCTGTTTGCAGCTGCTTGAAATGGATGCAGAACTCTTAAAAAATAACCATACATTTGGAATCCCAGAAGAATTTCACTGCTTTGAACACCTCTTGTAATTCTGTCCCAGAGAACAAAAGGCAGCGTTCACTACACTGGGCACTGCCTGGGAGGGGGCAGCAAGAGAGCACGAATCAAAATAATAAAGAGCTGGACAATTCTTCCTGCCTTAGACCAAACCTGAATTTGTTCGCCCCTTTGAGTGACCACACACACGGAAGGGCAGTCCCAACCCTCTCTGCTCCCTGAATTAGCAGGATGTGGCAGATTTGAACTGTCCACCTCCCTCCCCCCTTCTCTTCACCTCTTCCCTGCCCCCAGTTCTGCAGGCACCACAAAGGATTTATAAAAGAGCTACAAAGACATTCTTTTAGGCTCAGGCAGTTCCAGTAACCTTAGAAACAACACTAGCTGGGAGCCTGGCAGTTTGGCCACAGCAACAGGCTGCTTTTATCCTCTCATTGTCACTGCTGCACCTTCAGCCCCGCCACCCAAAACCTCGCTGGGCTGGAAGGCAATACCAGCATCACATTCAAAAATGAACAGTAGGGAATTAAAGGAACAACTACTGGGTCCTGAACTCATCCTGTTTCACCAGAGACCACTTTGTTACATCAGGACCAAGCTGGAATAACTCACAAGGAAATTTGTGGAATTTTTCACTTGGGCTGATTCCTGCTGAAGTCAAACAAAATTTTTGGTTGTTTAAGGATCAAAGGAAGCTGAGTGAGAACACTGTGACCTACAGAGGCAAAAACAGGGAAAAGAATGGAAAAACCTTTTCTGCCTTGTTCAGCTGTGAGTGGACTGAGCTCTGTGTGTGGAATTGTAACTGTTGGTTCTTTCTTGGGTAGTGCTGGACACAGAACACAGTGTGGTAGTGTACTGTTACTATCTAAAAGGTAGTAAGTGATTAAGTGGTGCAGTTGTTCTCAGGCCCAGGGGGCAGGAGAGGAGGCCCTGGTGGTGCAGGACTTTTGTCTCACCCAGAGCAACAAGTGTGAGTGTTGCTTCAAACGCTGTTTTGAGGAGATGCCCAGTAAGTCTGGAAGGAGGACAGTGGGAAGGGAGGGTTTCAGCACTGCTCTGGCAGAGAGGAAGCTCCCTTCCCACCACAAGTCCCCCTGTGTACCCACAGACTCCCACCTTGCCTGAAAGTTCAGGGACCACCTTAAACCCAGCAGGCAGCTGGGACTGTTCTGAAGGGCCAGGCAGGCTGTGTGCTGAGGGCTGCCTTCCCCGTGCTCACCTGCACAACTTCTTTCCTCACGTTGACGATGTCCAGCCAGTCGTTGAAGCGGGGGTAGCTGTTGAGCTCGGCCGTCCTGTCGCTCAGGGGCACGCTGAGCTTGCACTGCCGCTGCCTGTGGATGTAGTCGATCAGCTTCACCTGCGGGGACACAGAGCCCACCCTTCAGTTCTGGGGACACGCTGCCAGCTCCCAGGCAGTGCCTGTGCAAAGGGCTGCTGGTTCGGGAGCAGGGCTCTTTCAGGACGTGGCAGTGACACACTTTGAGCACGCAGGGAGATCCACGCAGAGCATCTCCCTCACACTGAGCATCTCTGCTCCTCAACATTCCAGCACAAGGCAGGCCCATCCCTGCAAGACTCTGCTCTAAACCCCATCAACAACAGTGCAGTGCAGAGCCTGGGTGTCTCGCCAAACTATGAAAGGGATCCAAACCATTTGAAACAACTCATTACGTTCATTTGGAGGCACTGCACACGTACACACAACCTCTCTGGGGATGCCGTGGGCATCACCAGTCCAACCTGCAGGACTGACTGCCTGCCCATCCCTTGGTCCTGCATGTTTACTGAATTCTCTTACATCTGGTCTTCATTTGGTCTAGAAGATCAGTGAGGCAGGAATAGCCAAAGTACCCAGAGACTGTCAGGCTGTTATCTGATGGGCATTTCTACTAAAAAATCAACATTGACAGCAGTTAACTTAAGCGAAAAAAATTCAGGCAGTTGGACTAGCTGATTGCTGTACATCTTCTATTCTATTCTAAAGTTTTATTCCAAAGTTTTTATCACCTGACCATCTTGTGGCAAAGGCACTACACAGAATTCTTCACTTTGGACACAGAAGAATAAGACAGCAAGAAGGAATATTATCTGTGTCTGATGTTTGCTCACCAAAAAGAAAATACTCCAAGATTGCTCACTGTGTCACACGTTCCCGTGGGGCAGGCTTAAGCTTCAAAACATTCCTAACAAAACAATGCCTTAAAGCAAGTTAGTTGATCTGTGATTTATAGACCAAAACATGTTCTTAGTCAACAAATTTTACCATTTGGGACAAGATCAGACTAAGAATGCAAAGAAAAAAACAAACATGCATTCTTTGGCCATTATAATGTCTCTCCTCTTACAGTTCAAGTGCTTTCCTATGAAGCTAGCTGAGGGTTTGTTTTATGAGCCATCCAACCCTTACAGTTTATCAGGTATAACAAGTTTGTCTCTGCCCACACACTGAACTCTGACAGCAGTGCCGATTTTTGAGATTTATCAAAAAGTGATTCCAAGTCTCCATGCCATGCCCACAGCGAGGCACAGCAGTGCCATTCCCAGGAGAGACAGCTGTGCAGTGCAGCACTGCCACGTCCTAGAAACTCAGCCATCCCTCCTCATCCACACTGACCACCCTGCTGGCACCACAGGAACCTTTTCACCACAGCTTCCTAACACGGCTTTGGAGCAAAAGGCCTACAAGAAATGACCTTGGAAATCCCACTCCCTCGCTCTCAGTACCTCTTTTTCTAGAAAGGAGCTGACAGCACTTCCCGTTGTACCCCCCTTGTCTGGCTGCTCTGGCCAGACCCCAGGCTGCGGGACATTTTTTTTTTGCTTAAAAAAATACAGGTTCTTTTCACTTCCCAAGTCTCCTCCATGGCCCCAACTCCTAAGACACTGCTGGAAGGGACTCTGTGCAGCACGGGTTTCAATGTCAAACTTTTCTTTGTTGGGCTGTAACAAACCCTTAATTCTCCAAAATGGACAAGCAGTCTGACAGCACAGATCTTAGATGGCCAAGGCTGCTTTTCCCAGGATAACTCCTTTGCATTTACTCCTCACGTCCAAATTTGTTTTCCCCTAGTCCTATAAATAGTATATTTGCATTCTCTTCCCGCCCTCCGTGCACCACGCTTCTCCCCTAGGATGAATTTCATTCTGTTATTTCCTGCCCAGACTTTTAACTAAACTACATGGTTTGGCTTTAATAGCTGAGCTGTTGCAAAACCCTTTTCTGAGAATATAATAAAAATTCTGGGTTCAGTGACGCACGTAAAAAGCCACAACCAGCACGCAGGTCTCCAGCCACAAACTAGACTGAGAGATAAAGCCAATGGGAGCTACTCACTGCCTGCTTGCTAAATGGCACGTCCCACTCATCACAATGGCAAACCCCACACCAGGAGCAGCAATACTCCAACTGCCTTAAACCCACAGAGCTGGGAAAGGACGAGAGCAGAGATGGACACGGAGCAGCTGGAGTAAAGTGCTATTCCCAGGGCAGAGCCCTCCTGCTCTGCCTGGGGTCTGATGGCCAGGACGCCCCCATCTCACTTGCTCTGAGAAGCCCACATGCTGCAAGGTATTCCTGGATGCATGTTCATCCCCTTACAGAGCTCTGAAAATATCCCTGTACAGCACAGATGAGAATCAGGCCCCAGAAGTTTAGGAAAAAAACTGCCAAGCTCGTACTTTTCTATTTATTTATACAAAATAAACAGCAGCTCTCTTGAGACACAAGTTTGCCCGTATCCATGACCTCAAGCCAACAGTTGGGACTTTCAAACAACGACAAACAAAGAGCAAACCCCGGCAAGTTTCTCAGCTGCAGTTCTGCAGACATGGCACAGGAAAGCAGTGGCATCTGTGAAACCAGATCACACAGGCAGATATTGCAAGGGTGAGCTGGAAGAATTCTGTATTCAAACTGCAGCCCAGGTATTTCTGACCTGTGGTTAACTGATCAGAAATCACATTCTAATTTAACATTTGTCAAACAATGTTAATAGTCGCGGTGCCTCACCAGAGAAATTACATTTCATGCATTTAGGGGTCAACCCTCTCCCAGCTTCTTGTCGTTTATGTTTTATTCATGTTTAGAAAAGTGGCATCTTGTTCCAGTAGTCATTAAAAGGCATTAACTCGTTGCAGTCTTTGCACTTGGTCAAAACCCAATCAGTCTGAATTCAATGCACTTGATCCAAATAAACAGGGAGAAAGGAACAGAGGCTAGAAGAGTTTGCCTTTTTCTTAGCTTATTCTCATGCTTTTGATCCACATATCTTGAAATACCCCCTCTAAATGAAGCAAAGATAATTCTTTTCCATTAAAAAAAAAAAAGGGAAAAATCAAGGCACAGAATGGAGATTATAAATAAAACAACCTGGGGACAGGCACAGGGACTCTGCTATGCCAAAGTGCCAACTGAGATGTCTTCAGAATATCAACAGTTGGAGACCAAGTTTGATTCAATCATACATTTCATAACCAAATGTCATGTTTCCACACTTTCACAAAACTTGTAATCTGCTCTCTGAAGCCTGCAACTTTTCTTGTTGACTTGAAACATTTGCAATGTTTACAAGAGGGGTTTGTCAATACTCCAACCAAACAACTGTCATTATTTAATCAACAAATCCAGCACATGTTCAAAAGCAGACCCTATTGCCCCTGTCCCAGATGAACAGGGGAGCCTGGCAGCACTCGAGCAGACAAGAAATATGAGCTGACACCAACCCTTCCAAGCCTAAAGCCAGTCCTGCCCTGCAATCTGGGAGCTGCCGGCTTTAAAAGCATCAGATCAATGTATGGCCCAGCTCTTACATGTGGCTCAGAGAAATGCAAATCATCTATCTTGCTTCAGACAGGAATTAATCAGGAAGGAACTGCTCTATTAACCTCCTGCCAAGAAGCAGCCCAGAGGGCAGGGAGCAGTCTCTGCAGCATGGCCTGCTGCAGCAGGACACTGCACTGGCCAGGCCAGCACCACACAGGGAGGGAGCTTCTGCATTTCTGCCCCCTGAAACAGAGGACAAAACTTCTGAACTCAGAGTTTATCTGCATGGGGCACTGGGGAAAGTCGAGTGAGTCATCTGAGGGCATCCAGTGAAAGTGGATTCACTTCACACCTTTAGCTGACTCTTATCTCTTTTCCCCAGTGCCATTAAATACACAAACCCTAAGTCAGACCAAAAAAAAACCTCTTAGGCAACCTGAGCACTGAAGCAAACATAAAAAGGTCAGAATTGGACTTGCCAAATTTGTCTCTGAAGTCATGCTCAGCAACCATGTGAGAAACTGATAAAGATCTCACCAGCCATTGGCAGAGCAGGAGCATGTGAGTGCACTTTGAGGGCACTTTCTCAAAGTCATCGAGTTTAAAGTGAAAAAAGGTGCAGCTGGTTGATCCAGGGATGGGAAGGAACAAGTATTTCAGTTTTATACAGCAAGCTGTGAGCTGGGGCAGAGCCTGGGATGTGGGGAGCTCAGTCAGCCCTTGTGCAGGAGGTCCCCGAGGAACCAGCCCCTCCCTGAGCCCCTGGCACAGCCCAGCAGTGCAGGGTCAGTGCTGTCAGCCCCAGGGGCCAGCTCTGAAATGGCCACAAGGACAGCCCTTCCCTCGGGGGTCTGGGACAGATGAGCACAACAGAGCCTTTCCAGTATAGTGAGAACTGAACCAATGCCTGATTTTGACTGTTTTGAACCCAAATCTGCTTGGTGAAATGCAGAGAGTGGGTCTGTACCCCTTTCACATGACATGCTCATTTTGCAGTGAAATCCAATCCAATCTTTTTCATAGAACATTTTGTTCAGCCACACAAAACTATTCCTCCCATCTGTGCTTCCATTAGGAACACTCAGATAATGCAGGATTCAGCTGGAGAGTCTTACAATCTTGCAAACTTCCAGGCTACCTTGAGGTCAGCATGGAATTCAAAAAGCTCTTTCCAAAGCAAGCAGCGGGACTGCACAGGAGCAAAATGCATAACCTAAAGTAAGAAGAACAGATGCAAAACACATTTCATTTCAAGGAATTATTTGTATCCTAAAAAAATAAGGTCAGTTTGTCACCCACATGCCTTTGCCCTCAAAAACAGCAGAACTGAGGTTACTAAAGGATGATGTTATGACCATGAGCATGGCCAAGGTATCAGAGAAATATCTGGTAGCAGACTCATTTGTTTCTTTGAGATTGTACCTGAGAAAAGGGGCTCACTTACATGGCAGACACTGACCTGCAGTCTGTGGAATTCACATTGTCTTACTTGAACCCAATTGACCCATCCAGCAAGATTCATGACAGCGAGCAGGACTCCTGCCCAAAATGTGAGGCCTGGCTTCTGGTTCTAGCTGTGCTAAAACAGTAGCCAG